ACATAGGATGCATATGATTCATATGGTGTATAAACACGAGACTAGTCATGTCTTGTATAAGAAGCTGGTTCGGTCATATGTTATTCATGTGCGAGGACAAGTGATGGTCAAGATGGGATCCGTTAACTCGAAATAGTTTGGTCCCGAGTTCCCAAATGAATGTCAATAAATTAACATTGGAAAAAGAAATTCTCTTGCCAGAGTACAATATAATCATATGAAAAAGAGTTTCATTATGAGACATTCTATTGTATTAATTGACGATTTGGATAAAGATTAAGTTAAAGGTTTTGACATATCATGAACCTATACTTAATTGGGATTAGACAAACGAGAGATTTTACTACACAGAACGTACAACCGGGAAAAATGTGCTTTAGAGTTTAACTTCAATGTGGCTTAGGAGTTATGGAGCATTGCTAGATGCCTATCATGATCAGTGGGAGTTTCAATCATAAAGAGTTATGACAAAACTATCGGATCACGATATTAGGCCCATGGCTATGTTATAGTGAACCTAATTGGTCACACCTAAAAACCAAGTATGAGAAGAGAGAGTAATACATATCGTAGAGGTTAACAATGTTCAGATGTAAACATGTGCATCCGAATTTATATATTAGTGAGCAATGATTACTCATGGAAAGCTAGCACTTACCAAGGGTAATAAGATAATTTGGTCATTATTGGATAAGATTCAGTAATGGACTAATATATTATTGGATTAGATTCAATAATGGGTTAAATATATTAAATGGGATAATATATACCTTGATTATAAATTTGTTTAAATCAAGGATTTAATGTTAATTAAAATTACTTCAAGGACATAGAACAATAATGATTTAATATTAGGTGTTAATATTAAATTTGAAATTGATTCAAGGGATTGAAAGTATTATTGAATTTGTATTAAGGGTTAATATGGGATTCATATTAATTCAAGGACTTGAGAACAATTTCAAATTATTGCAAAAAAATCCTTGTATATAAATAAGTGATTTATCCCCAATTTAACCTAATTTCATTTGATTGAAAAATTCTCATCCAAGCTCTCAAGGTTGGCTCTCTCTTCTTCTTCTTGGGGTGGATACACTTTGAGGATTCTTCATAGTTTTTGAAGGCCTTTCATCGCCAATCGAAGCTTCAAGTGTTGAACCTTAATTCATGTTATGCCATTTTTCCACCATTTTAACCCTAATAGGCATGTAATCTTTCAGATATATTTTGTACTCTTGGTGTAATATAACCTTTCACTTCTCCTTCACACTTCTATCTAATAACTTGGTGATGTGCATTTGCTTGTTCAACATTTCATGGTAGTGACTCATTTTTCTTGCTACTTCCTTGTTTTTGTAAAGTGGGATTTATCCCATTAAATATGTGGAATTTACGCTTTGCCCCTTTAATGACTTGGTCCATGTCATTATTTCTTCGTCGTTGGTCTTTTTATTTTGGGATTAAGCAGATAACACACCATTAATGAATTAAAGAAATCCTACTTTTAAAAGGGAGAATTGCTGGCGATGGGAAAATCGGCCAAAAAAGACACCCAAACAGCACAAGAACACTCCTAAACAATCAACCACTCCAAAGAGATTACCAATTCAACCAATCATTTTTTAATGAGTAAAAGACATTGAAGACGAGACATGATGCATGGTGAGATCGATAAGGTCACCAACACAATGTTTAGATAACATATAAAATTATATCAATACCTGTTCAATGCCTTGAAACATAATATTTATAAAATTTATCTTGTGGTCTTGGTGTACTAACCTTTCACTTCTCCTTCATACTTTTGTCTAATACCTTGGCAATGGGCATTTGGAAAGTAGGATTTATCCCATTAAATAGGTGGAATTTATGCTTTACGTCTTTAATGACTTGGTCCATCTCATTATTTCTTCATCGTTAGTCTTTTTATTTTGGGATTAAGTAGATAACACCCCCTTAATGAATTAAAGAAATCATACTTTTAAAATTATAAATTTAACCCTATAATAAATAATTAAAATTAACTTTAGTTTTTTTTTTTTTAATGCTTTAAAGAACAAAAATATAGTTTAATGAAGGAAGAAGATTGGTAATAGGATATATAAGTTACACCAAATACAAAATTCTAAGTTTTTAATTGCTTCACATATAAATTTATTTTTATTTTTTTCTTTATATTTTTTTAGCTATTTAAATCTAAATATTTTTTCATTGTTAAACTATATTATATTCTTGGGATTACTTGTAGAAATTTTTTTCTTTTAATTTTTTATGAACTTTCCATTTGATTATCTAAAATTTTATTTCAGGAAGAACTATGATGGGTTGTATAACATAATTGAGGCTCTTTTAAAATATAAAAAAATAAAAATGAAGGGCATTTATGGAATTGATGGAGTGCCACTAGAAAAAAGATTTAATTTTAAAACTTTGAAAAGAGGTGTCATAAAAAATGAGACTTTCTTAGTCCATTAATGGGTGCCAATAATTTCACTTGTTGGGATTCCCAAGTCTTCTAGTTTGAGTCTAACATATTTAATCTCCAATAATGCTCTTTATTTTAAAGAACATCATTCATATAAATAAAAAATATCTTTGTTAATTTCTAAATATAAAAAATAAAATTTTTATTCAAATCCAATGGACTCTTTAAATTAAACGAAGATATTCTTTATTTTCAAGAAAAAGACTTAACAGAAGAGAGAATTAATATATAAAATGTATAGAAACTTGTAGTTTATTAATTAAAATTAAGATAGAGAGTGAAATTTGACTCTCTAGAAATAGAGAGCCGAACTCACTCTTTAATTTATATTTAAAGAATAAATAGTCTGTTGGACTTTTGTTTTTATGGATAGACTCTTTATAATAAAGATTTTGGATCATATAAAGAGTCTATTAGAGATGCTCTAATGAGGTTATCCTATATTAATTTTGTATTTAATTGATATTTCAATTTTATTTTATTTTTAAAGGAAAAAAGTTAGACAGGTGATTTGGTCAAAAGGTTTATAAATATCTTTCATAGATTCAGTTGGATTCTGAAGCTACAAAAAATCTGTATCTTGGCTGTTTGTATACAGAAGAAATATACATGCTTTAGTTTTGTATCTGGGTAAAGATGGGCCTATTGGGCCACAAGGATGGACTAGATGTGCAGTACAAGTTGAGATGGCCCATTTAGCCCGTGAATTTTGTGCCCAAATGGGTTGACGGGCCTAATGAACTTTAAGGGTGCAAGTTTTTTGGGCTTGTACTTTCAGAATGAAGCTTTGAGAAAAGTCTGAGGTAAATGTGAATGAATTGGCAATTGCCTCTCAAATTTTTTTTTGAGCCTTTGGCCAAAATTAATAAATCGTATCGATTTGTATCGTTGGTAATCCGTATCGAATCATATCATATGATACATATCGAATACGTAGGATACTAATAATCATGCCTGAAGGGTGCAAGTTTTTTGGGCTGGTACTTTCCGAATGAAGCTTTGAGAAAAGTCTAAGGTATATGTGAATGAATTGGCAATTGCCTCTCAAAATCTAAATTCAGAGTGTGAATAATTTGTGTGGATAGTGCAATTGTGGTGCTTTTAAATCATTACAAATACAAGTGGTAATCAATGTATACATAGTAAAGACATTTCGATAATACGAGTTTTATTATTATTTATAATTATCAAAACATCATTACATGTTATTTATCGGCAATTGTCGTGTAGTACCTCTGTTTTCTTCACTAAATTTGTGTTGATGAGTTGTTTCCCCACCATTGCTGGCCAAAGAAGAGAGGAAAATTCCCAGGCATTATAAGTGGTGTTGTCACTAATTTTAAAGTCAAAAGCAATAAGCCAAGTAATAGTGCAGCACCATTGGAACAGGAATACATGTCTAACTCAACACTTGTGCTTTCAGATTCTTCAAAATTTTGATGCTTTCTCCATATGTAAATTTAATATTTTATATCAACTAAATTTCATATAGCCTATAGTTCTACGAGATCCTTTAATTTGAAGCATGTTTGAGTCTTTGAAAATCCCCTCTTGAGACTGGGGATTTCTGATAATCACAGGGGTTTTAAGAGATTAAATTAAATTAAATTAAATGGGGCCCCTTTTCGAATCACTTTTATAAATTTGATTTATTGCAATACATTCAACACTGACTTTATCGTTTAAATGTTTAGTGAGAATTTCAATTGAAATGACATATATGGTTAATTAATTAATTCAATCCCAAATGAGATTAAAGCAAATGTGAAAGCTGGATTAGCCAAAATATAAAGGAAAGTCCATGGAGATAGTTTGAGAAAGTAGGTTGACATTTTTACTTTTCTTGAACTAATTAATACCAACCCCACGTTGAAATTTTGAATATGAAATTGAAACCGAAGGGTTAAAGTTTTTTAAGTACAACAAACACACCATTTGATCAACTTCAATCTACTCGGAAATTGTTCACACACTTACTTATTGAGAATCTTTTGATGACCGGGGATGTCTAAATTACCGGTTTATAAACACCTTAGATAATCCCTTAGAGCCCTGAAATTGATGACCGGTTAAGCCCCTCAGGCTACTTCTATTAAGGACTGTGAAAACTTAAATTTAAGAGCTCATAAAACCTCTTTTTACTCTTATACCATCCAACCATTCCGTAATGGTTCTCTTACTGCTATTATTTAGATTAAAAAATATATATAAATATAGATTAATGCAATTATCTCTCTAAGTCAACCCTTAATCGTAATTAATATAGCCTTGCTATGCATACGAATTATAATCTATTAGAATCAGATTATTAATATTATAATGTTTCTCACAGCCATTGTTGCTGAAATTCTGGTTTCAGTAACATGCCGTGCCGTCACAGCCACTCCTGTGTTTCTTCTACACATGCACCAGAATGAACTCAAATAAAATAAACATAAATTATTTGCATGATCAAGCATGCATACGATTCAATGAGAACAAAAGCAATTAATAAATATTTAATTTACTTATTCACATAACACATACAGTTTGATCCAAATGAAAGTATGAATCTAAGCTATCTCATCAATCTCTAAACAAGTATGGGAATATAATCATACAGGACGACGACGCCGTTGTTTATGATCTCTTCTTTTCTTCTGGTGATGAATAATGAGAAGAAAAATGAATGATTAGGGTAAATAATCATATATATAATAATTGCAAAAATTAATACATGAACACTTTGAACAAAGTTACAGCACTTAGTGATGATGATCGAAGAAGAATTAAAAACCTCTCTCTCTATATATATATATCTCAATGGTGTAACGGGTTAGGCCCGGTTGGAACTAGCCGTTTTTCTACGCCGTATAGCGGGTCGATGACGTCTTCTCCGGCCGTTTTCGGCTTCGAGGGCAAGTGTTTCCGGTGGTGTCTGTGGTTGTGGTTGTTGTGGTGGTGGTGGGAGAGAAATGGAGTGAAGTCGAATTTGGAAGGTGCAGAAACTTTGGTGTTGGTCAAAGTGTTGTGATGAAAAACATAAATGGAGTTGAAGCTATGAAAGAATAGAAGAAAAAGAAAAAGAGAGAGCGAGAGAATAATACTAAAGATCTGTGGGAACTTGGTGGCCATGGCGAAAGAGAAAAGGAGAAGAAGAAGTGAAGAGAAGAAGAGAGTGCATGGAGAAGAAGTTTAGAAGAAGAAGAATAGAATTGACAGCTGCTTAAATGAGGTAAAGCAGCTAAAGAAATATAATTGGAGAGGGAGGAATCAAGGAGGGAGTGTTTGCTTTCATGAGACTGAAGAGAAGAAGAGGGTGTAATTAATTAAGCTTAATCAAGGTTAGTTTATGATAATAATATTAATTAATTATGTGAGAAAGAGAAAGAGAGATGTGGAGCATTGTTGTTCCAATGAATCTTCCTTTACGTTCAAGGAACAAAGGATCATTAATGGCAGTTTGTCAAACCTTAGAATTATATATTTTTGAGTTTGAAAAGACGACCAGTGATTAGGTGAAATTACTGTTTACTAATATCCCATTAAGGTCATTCTCATTTCATTTTTAATCATTAATTTAAACTTTAAATCATATCAATCATTTACATAAATAGTTATATTTCTATCAACATATGAATTAATTTCATTCGCCTGTTCAAAAATAGCTACTTCTCAAGTGTTGATCATATAAAAACTTCAATGTATCGACGAGGTTTGTTAGAGATAATGTTGGTATATAATGTCTACATTGACGTGAGGAGACACTGTAAATTCGCTATTCTTTGAACAATGTCGGTATATAATGTTTATATCGACGTGCGGAGACATTGCAAATTCGCTATTCTTTGATTGTTTTTTAAACGAAATTGATGTTGTGAAAGATGCCAATAACGACATAAAACGCTACATCGCAGTAGGACTAAACTATTGTTCAAGCTCCTCAATGCCATGCTCAATAGGGTTTTTGATATTTGTGGAAATTTTTATTTTTAGGGAATATTTAATGCTCTCCGAAATTCATGTACCCTTAAGAGATATCCCCAACTCAAAAGGGTTTTTGATATTTAATAGGCCGAACAACTTCCACTTACCCAAAGTTTGACATAAAGACAGATTGATACTCAAAAGGTTTGGAAATGACAAACAAATACTTTCTGTCATATTTTGTTAGGGATTTATGTCTGCTAAAAGACAGTATGGTAATTCCATTCTCACCTCAAGCCCGTTTGCACAACCCTCTTGTATCATCGATCAATTTTTTGACTGGATTTAACATTTTTTTGCAAAGTTTGGCGATAAACAATGGCGCTGGCCCTTGCTGGCGCGCGTTGGGAATGGAGATCAGTGGGTATTCCAGTTTTTTCACCATTTTTGTCTTTTAGCAGATGAAAATTCCTAACTGAATATGACGGAAAGTGGGTGTTTATCATTTCCAAACCTTTTGGGTACCACTTTGTCTTTATAGCAAACTTTGGGTATGTGTAAGTCGTTCCCCTATTTAATATTGAATATCTCAAAAGCCTTAGTGATTTTATATCTCAACCCAATAAGGTTTCCTAAGTTATTGGCCTATATAATGTTGAAATATAAAACCTTAATTAAGATTAATTTGATATGGAAACACATGTTACATGGCTGTAGAAGGTGCAGGTTTGAGGGATTGGTCATAACTCTGTATCTTTGAAAACACACTAATCAATGGATGGATGGACAACTCATAGCCACAAATCTATCCGAATAATTAATTAATTGGCCGACAAAATAAAATAAAATGACATGGTCCTGTAATTTGCTAGCAAAAGTGGTGAGTTGACTTAGTTAGAACTATGGAAGAATAAATGGGAACATTAATTAAATGGATGGACAGTTGGATTATCATGAAGATTTAGTGTTCATTCACACGCTTAACATTTTAATTAATTGGTACACGTTAAGTTGCATGGGAGGAAACAATTCCTTCACTTATACTCTTCCTCTTTTTTTCTTGTATTTTACATAGAATTTGATGTAAATTTTGCCTATAATTAATTAATTAATACTAGGTCAATATTGATAATTGAAAGAATTCTGAATCAATAAATATATAATGTAAGAGGTAAAACCCAGTCATGATATTGTCATATTGACATATACATTTTTTTTTTCCATAATCGGGATGTTCAGATCAGTTTGTATGCACCTCAACTAATCTCAGAGTCAATTTAACACCCTATAAATCCAAATTACAAGATGACTCTAAGGTTTGAATCTAATAATTAAAGGAAATGAGCAAATCTCCTTAACCGTCAGACTAACTCTTGAGATTGTTGCGGTATACATTTTATATTATTAATTTCAACAAATATCTATACATCAAAATGATACATGTATTAACATTATTTCAATAATATTAGAAGCTTTAAACTTTCACTTAATTCTCCAAAAAAAAATATAAACGTAGATGAATTATTTCAGAAGATGACTCTCGGACACAAAGATCCAACATGGTTGTGTGTTTACACTAATTCCAAAGGCAGGTTGAATTAGACTAAGTAGACGGAGATCTTCTCTCTCTCTCTCTCTCCAAAATTATATGCATATAAAAANGAACTATGGAAGAATAAATGGGAACATTAATTAAATGGATGGACAGTTGGATTATCATGAAGATTTAGTGTTCATTCACACGCTTAACATTTTAATTAATTGGTACACGTTAAGTTGCATGGGAGGAAACAATTCCTTCACTTATACTCTTCCTCTTTTTTTTTTTTGTACTTTACATAGAATTTGATGTAAATTTTGCCTATAATTAATTAATTAATACTAGGTCAATATTGATAATTGAAAGAATTTTGAATCAATAAATATATAATGTAAGAGGTAAAACCCAGTCATGATGTTGTCATATTGACATATACATTTTTTTTCCATAATCGGGATGTTCGGATCAGTTTACGTGCATCTCAACTAATCTCAGAGTCAATTTAACACCTTATAAATCCACAGGATAAGGTCACCCTAAGGTTTGAATCTAAGAACTCAAGAAAATGAGCAAACCTCCTTGACCGGCAGACTAATCCCTTGAGATTATTGCGGTATACATTCTATATTATTAATTTCAACAAATATCTATACATCAAAATGATACATGTATGACATTATTTCAATAATATTAGAAGCTTTAAACTTTCACTTAATTCTCCAAAAAAATATAAACGTAGATGAATTATTTCAGAAGATGACTCTCGGACACAAAGATCCATCATGGTTGTGTGTGTTTACACTAACTCCAAAGGCAGGTTGAATTAGACTAAGCAGACGGAGATCTTCTCTCTCTCTCCAAAATTATATGCATATAAAAATAAATTTATTATAATATAAAAAAAATTTCCCATATCTTTGAATAATATATATATATATATTTTTGGCAAAATGAGAGGCGCTCTTGTCAGATAGACCATGACCTTCTTTGTTTTCTTCGTGAAGTGGCTGGCTCTCTGCTTTTTATTCATATATGCCAGCTTGATTAGATAAAAAACTGACCATAAAAATTTTTAATATAAAATTTGTTTTTGATTTTGGTTTGTGGGTAAACCCCATTTGTGTGAAAATTTGTCAAAAAGAGTAGTTGGATTGGCCATCACAAGAAGGAAAATTATGATTAACCAGCTTGAAATTTAAAAGTCAACTTCTGAGTCCCACTTTTGATCTTCATTTAAACCACAAACACACCCACCCACCCAAAATATTCATAAGTTTTTGTTTGTGGGTTTTGATTTCTGATTGTGAATGTGAGTGGAAGTGGAAGCACTTTTATCAATTACCATAATTCTGGGTTGTGCCTCATTTAGGGTAGGCTACAAAGGCCACCTTTGTTTCTACTTCTTGCTTTATTTTTAGTGATTTTGAGACACCAAGTGATTTATTGCACAAAAAATAACTCTAATCAATGGGTTGATCAATGTTTAAATAAGAATAAAAGAATTCAATGATTGTATAACTTCTTGTACTGTAAAATAACTCCATATTTCTATTGAGAAATAGTTTATATCATAGAGGGAGGGATATTAAAGGCAAAAGTAATAACAAACAAAAACGTAACTATCTAGGCTCCTATTGAGAAGGAGAATGACCGAAGCCACGCCCAGAAAACCGCCCACAAGTTGAAACATAAAGAGGCTTTCTTCTTCTTTTCTACTGTTAAACAACAATGACCTTTTCCTACCATTCAAACTTGTATTTACTTTATTAAAGAGAGCACCCAAAAGTTGCCAACCAAAATCCAAAAAGCACACCCAAGAGATTATTTGTGTTAAAAATCATCAAACACGTTTAAAACTTAAATTAAGAAAATTGTGTTTCAGATATCATGTCCCAATGCCAAAATTCAAGCAATCAAAGTAATAAAAAAATGCCCAAGTTAGTGGTAATTATACCATTTATTGAAGTTTTAGAGTATCTTGTCAGCAAATACATTGGAAAAAAAAAAAAAAAGTCCTTTACAAAATGTGTCCAGTGTACCCATCCAATTGTTGCTTTCCCACATCTAAAAAGTTTGAGTTAGTTCTTCAAATGGTACAGATGACTAGCAATGGTGACTTGAAGAAAACTTTGTGCGAAAAGCGCCCACCTTGGCTCAAAGATATTATATATTACAGACTAATGAAGCAGAAATTCAATTTACCAAGAAAGTATTTTCTTCTTCCTTCAACCTTCCTCCCAATCAATATCATCTTCCTCCTCTCCAGAAGCCTCGGCTTCCACATTCAAGTCATTGACCTTAAATTCATTTGTATTGCCTGTGGTAAAGCAAAGGAACATAGTTGATGAATAATAATTACTGAAGTAGTGGCATATGGTAACGTTCAGAACACCAAAATTCTATGCAAAATCACATACTTTGTTGTTTGTTGTGTGAAATTATGATAAAAAAATGCGTGACACTTTTTTTTTTTTGGTGAGTAGACCAAATGAATGTCAACAGATAAGCCCATAAAAATTTCACCAGTCATTTAATGAACTCAAATAATAAAGCCTCGTGATAACAAATATTCTTTTGTTTGAGTAATTCTTTATCATTCTAAAATTTATTTGATATTTACTACAATTACCTGAAACTGGAGCCTCTTCCCAATCAACATCATCATCTCCCTCATCCTCTTCACGTTTAGCCTTCATGCCCACTTGACGATTAGCATAATTTCCAGAAAGCCCATCATCAGAGATGGGTGGTGTTTTTGAAGTTTCCTGTTGCGTCTTTGCAGCTTCTTGTAGCTCTTGTTGTTTCTTAAATAAAGCAGCATAATAAGCTTTAACATACTCATCCTGAAACATAATTGGGAAACAGAAACTATGTCAAACTTTTGAGCAAATGGAGAGAGCGAGGGGCAATTTCACATGCAACACATATCAAAACAAAGAAATGTAATAGTTCATCTCATTGCACGAGCCTGTAAACTCTTTTTATCATCTTCAACAGTGGACTTCTTGTCATCTGACAATCCTCCAGTAGCTGAACTTCCATCCATCTTTGATTCCTGCTCAACCTCTCCGCGTTGTTCCTTTGTAAGGTTCATTCCTTGTTTGATCATCCAAGGTGGCAACACTTTCAGAGATGTTGCAGCATCAGATTTGACATCCACTTCCTTGCCCTCAGCACCAGCAAAGGCAACTTCAACCTGCAAAATTCAATCACAAATTGCTCACAAAAAATCCAATCCAATATAATTGTAGGACATGAGACATTACAGAGTTGCAGACTCAACAAGATAAGATAGTGTTCCTCCACTGGAAATGAAGTTAATTAGATAAAATTAAATCATTACTTTTGGGTTAATAGCTGTAAACCTGGTGAGATACACCTAAACCCCCTGAGGTATACCTAATAGACCTGAACCCCTGCAATTAGTAATTTCGAGACATGTCTAAGCAAACATGTATAATCTCAGTAACAGCAGGGGTGGATTACTTCAGGGGTTCATAGCTATTAACTTTTACTTTATATATACATTGCAATCCACCTGTTTGCATCCCAAGTGATATGACATTATTTTACAGGTACAAATCATGGATTACGCAATCTACATGCACCTTTAAAACAATGATACATCAATTTATTTATTCGATGGCATAGAGTGTCGATGGATTGTCAACATTAAACGTGATTTTTTGACTTTTGATTTTAACCATTTGACGAAAATGAATTAATAGGTGTAATTTTATGTTAAGGGGGTTTAACTAAAAAGTTAATATATATAAGACCAATTACATGGGGAAAATAATTAAATCTACCAGACAACGCTCATACTTAGAGCTGTAACAAGCTCGGTCACTAATACTACAAAATTCTATTCACTAATCTTGGAATATGTTTAGTTAAGTTAGAAAAAAGGCTAATCTTAAAACACAAAAACTGCAATCAGCGTGCTAGGTTGTTATTTTTCAAATTATTAAAGGTTTATTAGACTATCTGTTCTTGTATATTAGGTTGGTTAAAAATACAACAAAGCTTAATACAGATTACATGGATTCTTAATTAGGTAACAAAATGAAGAAAAAAATTAATTAGTGACAAGCAACTCATGATAGCATTGCTAAAAAAACCAGCCTTGTTAGACAATCTCAAACCAAAAATTGCTTGGTTTAGGACCCAGTCACAATACAACTGTATAAGAAACCATAATAGATATTTAACTCATGGGATATGCTAACATTGTCTCTCACATGCAAACAAAACAGAATACTCAGACACATAGGCCCTGTGATCATTGATTCATAGACTAAACAAAACATGGTAAAAAAGAAAAAAAGAAAAAAAAAACTGAATATAGTAGACAAATCAAAATCAAAAGCTTAAACTAGTAAGTTAAGAACCCACCATAATTTGGGGATCCATGCTAGATATAAACTTAACTCGTTTTGATATATACTATGACACATCTTAGGCAACCCATCTTTTATGAGCAACAGAATCAATCACCACCGTAAATAACATTATAGTCTAGCATGGGCACATGTTATAACAAAAGCAAAAAGAAAATATTATAGAACTCAAACTCCAACCTAAAAATTCACACTCAAAGGGGAAAAGGTCAAAGTAGAAAGTCACCTTTGTGTCCCCAAGAAATGGCATTGGTGTTCCACCATACCCAACCTGAGAAGATTTTGATGGATCATTGGAACTAGAATCACCATTAACTGCACGCCCAGCAGCACTTGCTCGAGCTTCCCATGCTTGGAGAGTTCCAAATTCAGGCACAGCCAAATCTTTCACTCTGTCGAGCTGACTCATCAATGGCTTAAGCTGAGTCTGCAGTCATTAAACCAAATTAAAAAACAAAGACAAGAGTTAAGAAGCCCTAAGGGCTCAAAAAACATACAACATGAAAACACATATCCTATTCCAAAATATCAAAAAAACCCTGCTCAAAATTTACACAAAATCTTCCTTAGCTAGGGAAACGAAGCTTCCCAACAGTGAATAGAGAAGAAACTTACAGGAACTCAAAAGCATAGAATGCACAAAAAGAAGCCCAAAATTTTACTTTATCCAAATAACAAGATCTCTTCCCCACTTTTGCCAAAAAATCTCCTATTTCTTGCTAGCCATAGAACCTAAACAATTGCTATTATAGCAAAATTTCGAAACACAACTTTTTTTCTTCTGCCTCCAAAAGTGGCACGTCTTTCTAACAAACCAAAGAACAAGACCCAATTCTTAGAAATTCCAACGTAAGGGCAGTGCAAATATAAGTGGTCAACAATCTCATAGTCTGTTTTCACAAGGTGCACAAACTCAAAGCTAATGAGATATAAGTTCTTCTCTTTTGAATCAAATGATTTATATTGATGTTTCTAAGCACAAAAGTTCACACTAACACCTTAACTTTGCTAGAAACTTTGGCTTTCAAAATCACTTCAGAGGGCTCAAATAAAGGAGTATTTGGATTACCAATAAAACTGTTTATAAAAGATTTACTACAAAAAAATTCAGGACTTGTCAAGCAACAAAATCTACAATCATCCTTTCATCTAGATAAAGCTGTCTAGATAGACACTCAATAAGTTCAATTTGATTAAGGCCTAGGCCACCAAAAGTTATAGTCCAAACTGTCTGATGTTATAAGCAAGTAGGACTACAAAGAAAAAAAAAAAAGGCTACAAGCAACTGAGCACAAGACCCAGAAAAGTTCACTGCTAATTGCTAAGCAATGACCAAGATCTTTCTATTTCAACCCAGTATTACACAAACTTTGTCACCAAGCCAACTAAACGATAATTAACCATAAAACAAAGAGATATTCTCTGTCTTTATTCAAACCTCACCGTGCTATTAGTGCAGAAGTACACCTATATTCTATGTAAAGCAGATCTATTTGCTGCAAACATGTAAACAAATGTATTAAATAATGGGGAAAAGTTAACAGATCTATTTTAATAATTGTTCCATAGAAATTCGGATAATGCATGGAAGACAGAGGAAAAGTACCAACGTTGTAAACAAAGAAAGCCATAATCAGTAAGAAACCTCCATATTTTGAAGCATGCTCTTCAATTTTTCACGCCGCCGCTTCCTTGCATTGTCATCTCCATCTCCTCCTTCTTGAGCTGCAAACTTGTCACTCTCTGCCCGGAGTTCTCCATTGCAACTTTCACAGCGAAAATTACCATCTTCCTCAGAAACCAATCGCAAAGCATCCAAAGCATTATATCTGGATATGCCATCAGAAAATACTCAAGTTTTCAAGAATATAAAATTCATTCCACATGTGTATCTGCGTAAAGTAACATCAACAATAAAAAATAAAAAATTAAAAGTGAGGGATAGCAAAGACCTTTTATCACATTTAGGGCATATATATTCCTGAATTGTGTTCCTGTTATCCAATTCATCCTTCAATTTTTTCTTCATTCGGTGGATTCTGTACCTGATAACATCATAGATCTGCAAGGGATCTCTGCTTTAGGTAGTAATTTACAAGCTAGGATTTAGTTGGTATATGATAAGATGAAAGATTAAAGAGGAAAGCAGAAGGTTTCTTTTGCCTTTTCTGTCCTAACAAATTATTTGACATTTGTTTATCAACTTTGGTGATCAAAGTAAGAGTAACCTGTGCATAATCTAGACAACAGTATGAGTGAGTGTGCAGCTTAATCTTTTCTTCTCCCTCTTTTCCAAATGGTTGACCATCAGCTGTGGCTGCAACGGCAGCACTATATATCTTTGCACCCTTAGCTGTCTGCAACAAAATCAATTAAAATAAGAAGAAAACAAATAACGAATCCTACATGGTTGGGGAACATGTTGATTAATCAAAAACTGACAGTCAATGTTGGGCAATTTTCCACATGTTAAATCAAGGACAAAAATTTGAGTCCTATAGCAGCCAACACACATGAACAACATAAACTAAGCAATGAAGCAACAACAAAAACATTGATGCATAACTGATCACTAGCCTCTAATAAGTAGGGGTGTAAAGTGATCCAAGCCACTTGAGTTCAGTTTACCACTGGCCATCTAACAACCTTCCTTCAGTTTGCTCATACTTTAAATGAGCCAAACTCAAACAGATAACACTTAACATAAAGTCACTTAAAAAAAAGAGAGGTGAGTACCAGGACAAGCCTTTAATAAGTTGTCTGTAAAACGAACCCATATTAAAGAAAGAGTCTCCCTTGCCATCATAAATTTTTAGGATCAAATAAAGAAGACAACCTAAAACAAACGTTGACAGGTAATAACCTAGGCACATCTAGTTAAACTCTTTCACTTTTAAAATTTTGAAAAAAAACAAATATCTACCAACAGTTCCTAAAAACTTTTTACTTTTTGCAATCAAGTGATCAGAAAAGTATATTAGCTCAATGTCTTTTGCTTTTTGCAACAGTGAGCGACTGGATCATGACTATAAAACTATATATGATAGCATGAATCTCCTCAAGAAAACACAATTTAAAATTTGAGAGGGGATGCCACATGACTTTAAAAAGAAAAATGAATTGCTTATCAAAAAAATGTATTCTTTACTTCTGTTTAACAATTTTTTTTTTTTCCTTCTGTTTTCCGTGCTTTTTAGACATCTACAACAAAGAACTTCTTAGAGTATTGAAACAAAAATCCAAATCAAAACCGTTCTATCATAGAAACAGAAGCCAGAAGAGAATGCATTTATAGATCAGCCAAAAACATTGTGTGTTGTTAGGATTCAAACTATGCACTATGCAAAGTTTAATGTCTCCAATTACACCTCTTAAGTAAATTTAAATCGAGATTCTTTTAACATAAAGAATTATAAGAGCTAGGTCGAGCACTAAATTTAATACAAAAGATAACAACACTAAAAAATATAAATACATAATACGTTTGATATAATTCTGGATAGTCCTACATGCATTTAGTAAGAAGCTGCCATAAAATTACACAAGGCAAGAAGAAAACATAATAAAACTATAATTCGGAATCAGCTGAGGGTAGAATATAAAGAGAAGTATAACAAACTAGTAGGATCTAAGAAGGACCTCAATAAAATGCATGCAATATAGTGAACACTGACCTCTTTCCTATGATCACGGGTGACTAGTTTTTCTTCCTCAAAAAATCGCAATGTTCGGCGAAGTTGCTTGGAGTGCAGTTTCAAATCTTTCGCCAAATCTTCTTCTCTTACCCATTGCCGTCTAGAAAAAAAAAAAATAATATATATAGGTCAACAATAAATATAGGTAGAATCTTGTTAACCACAGAAGTGCCCCTCAAAAACACACAATATTTTCTTTCAAAATGAGTAAACCTCTTATCACTTCTAAAATGAAACTCTAAAATTACTTACACAGCCAAGATCACTAACTTAAAACTCTACTCCATAATAACCCCCCATTTCATTGCATAGTCTCAATTAAGACACATAATAACCAACTTTTTAATACACAATCAAGAGTGTTGATTTTCTAACTCCACTTTTCTACTTCAAAAACCAAGAACACATTTTAATAATTCCATAATTGATTCTAAATCCTACAAATACCTCGTTAGCGCATCGAGCACCACAACGGCAATCCCTCTGTTATCACTCCGACCAGTTTTGGGTTGATTATCGCCTTTTGTCGTTATATCATCATAAAATGCCCGGGCCGCGAGCTTCACCAATCTGTGAACACACCGAATTGAATTGCGTCAATTTCTGTTAACATAATTGATTGATTTGAACTTAAAGTTTGAATTTGATATAATTGTAGAAAGTGTTACTTGTTAAAAGGTTCGACGCTCATTGTTGTTGACTGAAATTTAATCGAATGTCCAGAGATTTTAAGGGTTTACGGTAAATTCTCTTTTTAAGTTTTGATTTGGGATCGGTCGTAAGATTTCGTTTTGAGAAAAGACCTGGACATCTCCTTGGTTAAATTGAGGACAAGGCCTGCATATATAGAAGATGATTTTTCCAGAGACCCCGTAAGTTTCGGAAAATACTTTTCTGGTCCTTTATGTATTAATATTTTTTAGTGGGGCTCGATCTTTTGGTTTTGCAGAGATACCCTTAATTATGCGGAGTTTTTATTTTTAATACTAAAATTAAATTTTTTGGGAAAAAGTAGGCTTCGATTTGGTTGGATTTTGGGAATACTACTTTTAGTATTCCCAAAAAAGTTAAACAGTAAAATACCAAAAAACTCACAATATTATTCAACTTTATTCAACATTTTTTAAACCTCCTAAATTTGTTAATTAAATTAAATACCCCTAAATATTTTTAATGTTTTTGTTACGGCGACTCCGGCCATCCTCCGGCGGTGGTGGCCGGCTGTCCGTATTTGAGGGTGGATTGGGGGTGTTTTTGTTAACTTTTAATATTTTATTATAAGGGGTGTTTTGTAAAAAAACAAACATAGGGGTTATTTTAAATTTGTAAATCCTACATCGTAATACCCGCCCAATTCAATTTTTTTTTTAACTTTTTTCAAAAAACTTTTCCCGAAAACACAAAATTGTGAACCAAACGGAGCCGTAATCTTTGGTAATAAAAATTCTTACACAAAATTATTTTTATAAAAATCCTCATATTGCAAAGATATTATAAATTAAACTAAAATTAGAAAAGAAAGGGGAAAAACTATGAATATGAAGAGCTGAAGGTTTCAAAAAATTTTGTTAAGCCATCCAAAAAAATCCCAGCGTCTAGACGTAAAGTCTAGTCTGTTTCTATTGGTTCTCCATCAGATCACAGTGGCTGCCACGTGTAGAGTCCAGATAGCAAGAACAGGTAGGGCACAACGTCACCCTGGTGTGACCTAGTACACCAGAAGCGAGGGCTCGTGACGAACTTTCGTCTATAAATAAACGCATGGAGCCCCAACAAGCTGTTAACAAATTATCAGACATAGAGATAACAAGCTAGCATCAAGCGAGCGAGCCATGGCGAAGCCTCGCAAGCCGAAGAACGAAGAGACGAAGGCCGAGAGTTCGGGCGCCGTGGTCCGTCACCAGAAGCTTTGCCTTTCCATCGACATGGATAAGCGACAAATCTATGGGTTTGCCTTCTCACTTGTAACATTTCTAACGCATATTCTTGGTTAATAGTCCGGTAACGTTACCGAAATGCTAATATGAATTCTTCCAAATGCTATTACGAATTCTTCCAAATGCCATTACGGTAACTTTGTCTAATTTTACTCCTGTTAACCTGGCAGTCTCTTGTAATTGATCGATTAAGTGTTAATATGAATTTTTACAAATTTTATTCCGGTAATGTTAGTCGAATTTTACTCTCCTCAATATACAAATTACTTGTAATTTAGTAATGAGCCAATTGCCTATTTTTAATTTTTTTTTAATTTTTTAATTTTTTAACTTTTTAATTTTTTTAATTTTTTTATGGTTGGTTTAGCTACACCGAGTTGGAAATGGTGGTACCGGATATCGGGATTGTAGGGTTACATGCGGAGAATTTGGGAATCGAGAGTGTGTCAGTAGATGGGGAGTCTACTGAGTTTGAATATTATCCAAATCATCAAAATGTGGAGAATGAGAAGAGATGGAGAATGGTGACCTCGCCTAGTTCAGCTGCGGATGCTGCGGCTGCAGCATATGTATCAGCTCTGGACAGAGAATTGGTACCAAATTTGCTGATCAATTGTTGCAAGCCTTTCAAGGGTTTAACAGAACAGATAGACCATACGAGTTTGGAGAATAAGTTGGACACGTCTGGTGAAGCAAAGCAGGTTATTGTGCCTATCTATAACATATTGTGCACGTCTTTAAGTCATGGATGATGTTAATGTACCATGAACAACATTGCATATTTTGAAATGTCATAAATTTTGTGTACTGTGTTCTCTATAACATGCTAGTATTCTTTTCTGTTTTACTCCTAGGTGTCAGCTGTGAACTGTGTTTGAAGCTAGGTACTTTTTGCAGATCCTTCTTCTACTTGTAGGCTTTAAACCTGCTTGGAAACCAAGATTTTTACCTCCCGACCCACCCATTGTGATTAGAAAAGTTCACGTTCATGATAGCAATTTAATTGATGGTAGCTCAAGTAATTGATAGTTTCACTAACCAGCCCATTTTAGGTTTTGTTATTTGCATTTGGTTTTCTTAGAAGGCTCTCTATAGATATTGTGATGAGGTTTACACGTCTGTGGTTTCTCATGTAGGTTGATGTTGGGTGCAGAATGTGAAACTGGTTCGTATCGATTATTGGGTAGAGAAAGCAGAAACTGGGATTCATTTTGATGGGAATGTGTTACATACTGATAACCAGATAAGGCGAGCTCGTTGCTGGTTCCCTTGTATAGATGATAGCTCTCAACAATGCTGGTATGAACTCTTTGTGCTGTTAATGTTTTTGCTTGATGATTTTGGTCATCTGTAATCTTTAACGTTCAAAGAAATTCATGTTATTGCATTATCTTTCAGTTATGACCTGGAATTTACTGTCTCCCACAATCTCATTGCTGTCAGCACTGGAAGCCTTCTGTATCAGGTAAGAGGGATGGGTTTTAAATATTTATTAGTGCATCGACAAAATGCTTGTGATTTCTCAAATATTCATGAATTGTTAGAACCTCTTTTTTCACTTTCTTGAATCTCTTGATTATGTTAATTCTTATTGGATATGTGTTGATTGTTTACTGTTGCTTGTCAATGTGTGCCTCATATTTGATTATCCAAAATAAAAATTGATGATATTAGCATTATATTGAAATTTTATTAAATTTATGTCTCATATATTGCCTAGCGTGCAATTTATGCGAGTAACCCAAACCTGACAAAAACTATATTTTGGGGGCCAATTTAGGCATCAAACTCTTCTTTCTTCTCTCAGTTTCTACCATTTATCCCAGCCTCCTTCAATGGCAATATAAGGTTTTGATTTTGGTCATTGGGAGAGAAGTTTGCTTTGTCCAATAAAATGATGCTTAAATTTGTTGTTTTCCCTTAGTCAAGGATAAGACACTTAATATAGGCCAAGTTTTGACTTGTTAGCGGATAATAGTTTGCGGGGATAGCTCAGTTGGGAGAGCGTCAGACTGAAGATCTGAAGGTCGCGTGTTCAATCCACGCTCACCGCACGCATCTTTGGGATTGAAAGGTTTGTTGAGTCAAGTTTTAACAATCGAGGTTGCTGAAAACCCTTTTCTATGGGAAATATTCATCTTTTCTGAGTTATAATACAAATTGATGTACAATAGTCATCCTTAACATTGATGTGAGTTGTTTTAGCTGAAATTAGTTCTTAAAACTTATGGCTAGGACTTTTGGAATGATTTTGTCTATAATGAAGAGGGCATGCTGAAAAAAAATGCATGATGAATTATTAGAAGCTAACTGCGTGTGTGGAGGCTAATACTAAACTTTTGAGAGTTATCATATTTATGGTTCTGCTTTACAAGAGAAAGTGCTTTCATGGTTTTCAACTGACGTGTTATATGGAAATAATGGATTGTAGAATGTGTCCAACATGAAATTCTTAATCTTATGACTTTAGACTTAGTGTAAGTTTTTGTAAGTTGAGAAACTCTATTATAACCTGAGGCTGATAGTGAGAGTTTTGCAAAATTGAAATGAATGTCCCTTTTAAGCTTGTCAATCTTGCCAATAACTTCCTGGAACGGAACTCAAATTTTAAAAAAAAAAAAAAAAAAAAGTAGTTTTTTTTTCTTTCTCCTCTGATTGCTTTATCTTCTTCTTACAATGGCCTGAGGTGGTGAGAATTATACAAAAATTAAAATAAGTTCCCTGTTTTTCAAGTGTGACAATCTTGTAATAACTTCCTGCAAACTCAATATGGGAGATTTTTTTCCCCATCTTTCGATGGCCTCATCTTCAAGTTGCTTAACTAGAAAGAGACGATAACTTTCTTGCATGTGTCCATATAAGCTCTTAAAGAATTTTGCATCCAGCAAAGTTGGAACCAATCTTGTGTAAGGAGATTCAAATGGTCAATAAGTTTCGTTTATAGAGATGTTGCTTATGTACTGTTGACTCTGATTGCTTAATTATTAACTTAAAAATGTGCTAAATTGATTAATTTAAAGACTTGATAAATTGTTGGGATGCCTTCATCGAAGTACATACCTATTATAGTATCTTTCACCGGAACTTTTTGTTGTCTTTATACAGGTAAACATAGGTCTAGGAGAAAACAATAAATGACTGATGGTGTTTAACTATACTGAAAAAATTGCCTTAAAAGGGAGTTGAGGGGAGGGATCTAATCATATGAAAATAAATGTCTTGCTTCATCTGTGGAACAACAAAATAATGGATGGAAAAAATACGAGGGACATGAAAGCAGTATTATTGTTGTTCATGTGTTTACTTGGTGGATTGGTAACTAAGAGAAAAAGACTATAAAATCCTTACTACTATTTTTTTCTTCAATTTTTTTCAATTTTATTTTCATTTGATTGAGCTGCTGATGATTATGATGGTTTATTGATGGTAACACTGTTCATGGCAATTGTGATAATTGGTGGTATTGAACTTAATGGTAATGGATGTTTGTGATATTAGAGTGATTGTTGATATGGTATGATGGTGCTGGTGGTGATAGTTTTGGTGGTTGTGGTGGCTTATATTGATGGTGGCAACTCTAGGGGTTTTCCCTATCTAGTATGTGTGATTATTTTGTTTGAGTTTTTAGAAGAAACCCCAACAGTTGGGTTGAGTGGTAAAAGCTTTTAGTTTCAACCAAGAGGGTCAAGGTTCAAATATTGGACCATCTACTTGGGATATTATGTGAACAATTTTCTTGACCACTATGTAAGTTTTGAAGTAACCTTCAGTTAGGAAAGGTCAGGGGGACTTTGACTACTTGAAAAAAAGGAATTTCTCAACAGAGAGGGAGGTAGGGATAATCAAAAGCTTTAGGTTTTATGCAGGCAGTTAGTTCTATTTGATGAGAATCAAGAATGCTCAATTTGAAAATGATTGGATCTCATTTAATAGTTTAAATAGAATAATTGTTTTTCATAACAGCTATTATGTTTCTATTCTATGTGGATTGACTTTAGAATTGGAATTTAGTGCATTGTTTTTATTGCTTTTTGTTGTTAACTTGACTGCTAATAAATCAAGAATTAAGCTTTGTGCAGTCTGCACACATCTTGCATTCAGGGTCAAGTGTGAGATTCCACTCCTTTCATTATTGTAAGAGTTGCAATTGGGTAAATCTCATTGACCTACCCTGAGTTTTAGCTAAAGTAGTAGTAGAGTCCACTGGTGTTTTAGAGATCTCCTCTTAGGGTCTGTTTGGGAGTTTTTTTTCCATTGGTTTTGGGGGTTTTTTAATTAGACTGGTTTTGAGATGTTCTAAAACTATTACTTGCCAGATTTTTCATGCACTGGTTTTGATTAACTTAAAAACCTCCCAAAACCAGTGTAGTGTATTTTTTAGGGATTTATAAAACACCTCAAATCGGGGTGTTTTGGCTGGTTTAAAAATTTTATCCCAAAAAAACCCCTTTCCTCTATATAATATCCTATGATATACAATAATCACTTTGCTGATAAAAAGAGAGGCACAAAACAGAGGGCTAGAGAAAAAGACTGACCCTTTTTCATTTGATTCTTCGTTCTCCAGCTTCTTTAATTCTCTCAACAAGGTTTGTTTCTCTCTTTCTCTCTCATTTTTTGTTTGGGTTTAAAGGCATAAATGTCATGCTTAAATGGGGGAAGGCTCCTTCTTCTTAATTGATTTGCTCTAGATTTGCAAAAGGTTATTCTTTTTATTTAGGTTTTTAGTTTGTTACTATTCTAGATCTGTGTAAAGTAATGGAGTCCAAGAGTTTTTGCGCTTTCAGCAGTTCATGCCGCAGATAGATTCTTTATTTCTTTATCACTTGTAAGTTCTTATTGGGACCCTCTTTTTATGACCATGCTTTTCAACCTGTCAAAGTGATAGATTCACTTGCAGATTTATTGCAGAGATTGTAGTTAATGGTACTATTGCCTCCATGGTTGTGTTGAAATGGTTTTTCCTTCCTAAGTTTAAATCCTCTCATTCCTTAGATCTAAATGAATAATCTTGGCTGTGTATTGTTTCCCCTACACTCTCGTACATCACAGATTGGCAAGTTTAATTACACAAGGAAAGAAGTCATGTGATTTGATTTTGGTTCTAGGAGGAGCATAGTTTTTATAACAATTACTTTATGTGAACTGGACATACATAAATACACAAAACATATAATTCAATTAACACACAAACTGCAGCAATGGCATGAGTGGAGGTAGAACTAGGATAGCTGGTATCTCTAATCACGAACCCTTTTGTAAAGGAGGCTGTTGTAGACAACACAGAAAGCAGAATAAGCAGAATGGAAGCAACCAAAGCGATTGCGGACGCGCTTCCTACATGTCGACAGAACTTTCCGTAAACAGAGCAATCGATAATGCTACCACAAAATATCTGCACAAAGACATGAAATTGAAGTTAAACTTCCCTAATCGAGAATCATTCTAGTCATCAATAAATAAGGCAAAAGATGAATGCATTTGAATTAATTACGTGAAGGCTGGAGAGTAAGTAAACTTGGAAGGAACTTTTATACTAAGTATTGGTAATTAAAAAAAAAAACTCCCAAGTATTGTATGAAGTTGGGGTATTTTTATGAGCATATATGTAAATTTATCATTTTAAAAAATTGTGAGAACCGTTGGAAAATAAACTCTTGGACACAGGTTGAGTGTTTTAAAAACCGCTACTAAAAACCCCTCAAAACTGCTATGGTGGTTTATCCTCGTAACTGCTATCATGAAACTCCCTAGCAAACCCTTAAATTATGAAAATCATCATATACCTTTCTAGAAGTTTGTAAAAACCTTTAGAAGTTCCATAAAACCTGTGGGAGCTTACTGGCAAGAATTAAACCAATGAGGTTTGTTTGTATTTGATATAAACCTTGGGCAGGGACAATGAATTTATCCCCTTCCAAATTCCTGCATGTTGCTTCTTAACTTGCTGCTTGTCTATTTTACTCATATGAAACCTTTATACAATGTTTCTTTCATATTTTCTTTTCTATTTTATGGTTGAAGCTTTGAGCTTGATCATTATTGTGTAATTGAACTTGTTAAGCAACATATTGATGAATCCCCTCCCTTTCCACCAGGCAGATAATGTTTTACTTTTATACGGTTTAGGCATCCAATGTCCATGTTTATATGTTGTATTTTGCTTCAACTGAGCATTTAATGATTATTAACTTTAGTTTTTTGACTGTTATCTTTCCATGTACTTTTTCAGGTTTTGAGCAAAGATGATCCTCCTCGCAAGACTTATGTATATAAATTGGATGTTCCGGTCAATGCTCGGTGGATAACTTTGGCAGTTGCACCTTTTGAAATTCTTCCTGATCCCCATCATAGTATCGTATCACACTTGTGTTTGCCAACTAATTTGCCAAAGCTTCATAACACTGTGGAATTTTTCCACAATGCATTCAGGTTTGCCAATTCAAGTTTTATGGTTATTATTAGTCATCCATAGCCTTTTGGTATTGGTTCGGCATCTATGTTTGTTACCTCTTAATGTTAATTGACCAGACATTTCATTTTTCAACAGCCATTATGAGGCATACCTCGAGGCAAAATTTCCATTTGGGTCATACAAGCAAGTTTTCTTAGCTCCTGAGATGGCAGTTTCCTCATCTACTTTTGGAGCTTCAATGAGTATATTTAGTTCTCAGGTTCTGTATGATGAGAAAGTTATTGATCAGGTTTGTCCATCCAGTTAACTTGTTGTTTTGATATGTTTTGCCTTACGGGTGAACTTTTCCATTTTTCTCACAAGTGTAGTGTGTTAATGTGGGAGGTTGTTGTAGATGTCAAGATAGATATGGTTACATGCCTATTGTTTTTTTTTTTTTTTTTTTGTCAGAGCATAATATATGTAATTTTTTTTTTTTTTTTTTAGAGCATAATATATGTAGATGTCATGGCTATCTTTCCACTGTGATTCACATGTTTTCCTTTTCCTGCATGGGATTTACGGGTGCATATATTTCTTAACAGGCCATAGACACAAGCATTAAACTTGCATTTGCCCTTGCGAGACAGTGGTTTGGAGTATATATCACACCTGAATCACCAAATGATGGTAGGTTGGTAGAATATGATTCTTTGTACTGCTTGATTGGAATTTGGTTTATGACCCTGGTTTATTCAATATAGTTTGAAGATAATATTTCAATTATTTTACTGATTTTTTTATTCCTAATGTCAGAGTGGCTGCTTGATGGTCTTGCTGGTTTTTTGACGGATTTGTTTATAAAAAATTTTTTGGGAAATAATGAGGTTCGCTATCGAAGATACAAGGTTTGCTTTCTTGCACTTGCGTGAATATTCTTCCAGACCTTTATTTTCTGGTTAGTGCTACCACAGACTGTTATCTGTTTTCAGTGGGTTATGGTAGGCATGGTAGTTGTTGCTTATTGCATCAAATAAATTGTATCAAGCAGTACCAGATGCTGAGAGTCTTACGTTTTTATTTGCTTTAGTTGTGTATGCTTTTAGTCTGTTAGTGCAGACATCTAGTGAGAAGAATTTGGGGGAAAGTTATGCAATTGTTGGAGAAATAATTAGTGACTCTTTTGTAATTCGTAGATCTGTTAATTTGAGAAATTGTTGTCTTGGTGATATCTTTGCAGTTCTTTGCCTTGTCCTTATCACTAAAAGAAAATAATGCAAGTATTTCCGTACTCTGATACGCATATTGACTACTTGATGTTTACATATTTGTAGGCAAATTGTGCTGTTTGCAAAGCGGATGATAGTGGTGCAACAACTTTGAGCTCTTCTACTTCTTGCAAGGATTTGTATGGAACCCATTGCATTGGTATATATGGCAAAATACGATCATGCAAATCAGTAAGCTTTGAAATTTCTTATTTTAATATATCCACACACACTGTGTGAAAATTTCTTTAGAAAACTCTTTTCACTAATCGATTAATTTCTTGTAGGTGGCAGTCCTTGAGATGTTGGAAAAGCAAATGGGATCGAATTTCTTCCGCAAAGTAAGGCCTAGCAGCTTGCTATATAGTTAATTGTTTTGTCAATCCTTTTTGGTTTCCCTGGTCCATTAGATGGATGTTAACTTTTGTGGATAGCTTATTCACTCTTGTAATTTCTTCAAGTAATGATAATTTTTTAGTTTCTTCTCAAAAAAAAAAAAAAAAAAATATCACTCATTGGGGAAGATAGTCCCATTCCTGACTTAATGTGTAAAATGTAAAGAAAATTCTTGCTACTGAAGGTCTTAGGATTTGGTTCTTGTTTCTTTGCAATTGTAGATTTTGCAGAATATTGTTTCTCGGGCTCAAAGTGCAACATCTCCTGTGCGTTCTCTTAGTACAAAAGAGGTGATTACATTCTACTACAGCATAATGTCCAGTTCATCTATTTATATTTTAGCTCTACATTTCAGCAAGTTTTACTTGTATTTCCCTTTATTTATTTTTGGGTTTTCATCCACTTATTATGCATACTATTATTACCTATGCCATGCCAGATTTTATGTTGTGACTTGTGAATGACATTGCTGTAAGAATTTTCCATGACCATGCAGTTCTGATTTTCTTGGTCAATCCTACATGAATTTCCTTGATCTATAGTGGTTGCTACTTCCTTTCTGGTACTATTTAGCTTAACTGTGCCAAGCTCAAAATAATTAAAAAAGCTAAGTACAGAGTATTTATCTTTCACACACGTGTTTAATTAAATAACCACTGATGCTCTGGAAGATGTAATAATAAAATGATAGAGCCGGTTGACTAACATGGTTTTTTTTATCTTCCCAACTAAAAATTAAGGTATTAGAACTTGATTGAGAGTTAATACAATTGGGTTATTGAAGATCATTATTTGATAGAGTTGTGGGTGAAATTTAACTCAATGAAAAGTGCATTCAGGTTACACTTGTCCACTCTGTTTTGTTTGAAGTTTGGCTCATCGAAAAATTTAAAGTTGATGTAAAATGCATAGTTATACTTTCTAGGTCTCTGCCTCCTATCGTTTTTTTTTTTTTTTTTTTTTTTTTTTTTTTTTTTTTTTTTGGTAATGCACATATTATTTTGTCGACACAAATGCATCCATAATTTAAAAGAATATCTTTGGTGATATTAATACTAAATATGCCATTGTCTTCTGAAATAGAGAACTATGTAGTTTGAACTCTAGTGTCTTCTTTTAACTGTAATTCTCCAAACACTGTTGTTAAGGGAAGCGAGAAAATTTTCTGTCCAAGAAAGTTGTCTAATTTGGTTAACTTTGTGACTTGTAATGCTCTTGCTTTCCTTGTGTATCATCGAAGAAGGTTTTCATAAGGCAGTAAATATAAGTTACAGTTGTTATTTTGTTTTATTTTGCTTACATTGAAATTTGAAGTACTAAGTGTTGACCACTACATCTGTAGCACCCTCCTTAGTTTAACATCTTCTAATCTTGTAATTTATTTTTTGTATGCTCAATTCCTTTTGGATATAGCAATATATGTTATATGTTGTGACTGGGTCTGTTTCCTTTTCTTCATAATGATGTTTGCTGGATTTTCTTGTTTTTGCTAGACTTTATTTAAGGTCCTAACTTGAAGCTCTCAAGGTATCTTGGTATTTTACTTATTTATCTGAGTATATTATAAATTGTGAGATGCAGTTTCGACATTTTGCTAACAAGGTTGGAAATCTTGAGCGCCCGTTTCTTAAAGAGTTCTTTCCTCGGTGGGTGGGATCGTGTGGGTGTCCGGTGTTGAGGTATGATTTCTGTCAGGGTTATTAATTTTTTATTTTATTTTTTTGCTTTGCAATTGATAACTTCTGTTCTAATGCCATATTTTTTCTGGGATGTGAATCATAAGGATGGGTTTTTCATATAACAAACGGAAAAATATTGTCGAACTGGCGGTATTGCGGGAATGCACAGCTACACCTGATTCAAGTGGTCCAGTTCTCAATTCTAACCTGGATTCTGAAAACCGAGACAGTGATAATGGGTGGCCTGGGATGATGAGTATTAGGGTTCATGAGCTTGATGGTATGTATGACCATCCAGTTTTGCCAATGGCTGGAGACACATGGCAGCTGCTGGAAATACAATGCCATTCAAAGCTTGCTGCTAGACGAGCCTTGAAGCCTAAAAAGGGTTCAAAACCTGATGGCTCTGATGATAATGCTGATGCTGTAGCTGCTTTAGATATGCGCTCTAGGTATATTGTCGTCTTAATGAGGTGTTTTGGCATTTATTGTTGAGAGATGATCAGGTTTATTATTTTTTAATGTATTGAATTCTTTTGTTTGGCAGTATGGAATCCCCCTTGTCATGGATTAGGGCAGACCCAGAAATGGAATATCTTGCTGAAATTCATTTTAACCAGCCTGTACAGATGTGTGTAAGTTGTAGTAAGAAATTATAATGTTTTTTCATAACTAATTGTAATTGAATCTGGTCCTTTGGGCCGGATAGTTCTAAACATAAAAGACCACTCAGTCTGTATGCTAGTTTTTAATGTCAATTATATTTTTCACACGAAGCTTAGAGAAGTTGTAAGTATTAAAATCTTGCTATGGATCCAAATTGCGATTTGGGGCAATTAAATTGTATTTATATTTTGATGTTGTTTCAGCTGCATCTTTTGCTAAAACAAAGCAAAAAAAAAGCTTCGAAGATGCTTACTTAATTATTTGGATAAGGACTTCATATTGTTGGTATGTTTTATCAGATAAATCAGTTAGAGAAGGATGGAGATGTTGTTGCTCAAGCTCAAGCAATTGCAGCACTAGAGTCTCTACCGCAACTTTCGTTTTCTGTTGTTAATACTCTGAATAATTTCCTCAGCGACTCCAAGGTTTTAATCAATTTCAGAGGTATATTTGGTTTGATTTTCATGTGTTTAATGGAACGTAATTAGCTGTATCTTTGTGGTGTTAAGGCCTTTTGGAGAGTTCGGATTGAGGCAGCATTTGCATTGGCCAATACAGCATCCGAGGTAATGTGATCATTCTTGTATTCATTGAATTAATTGAGCTCTGATTGGTCCAGTGTTTGTTTAACCTAATTTTGACTGTAGCATTAATTGCTTTGTTTGGGAAAGTTCACAACCAATTAAGAAATTTAATTTGTGATTGCCCATCCTGATTTATGTATAATCTATAAACTTTATTGATAGCTACTTGTGTATTTTGTTAGAAAGGTATCTTTCTGAGTTTTTCCAAAAGAATTCTGGACTACATTTTTCTGGAAGATGCTAATGCTTTTCGTGATGGTTCTGAATGTAATTACATGGATTCTTCTTTATATTCAACAATTACTCATAAAAGGATCAATTTTAAGTTGTGCATTTAATGAATTTTTTAGCAGGGAAAATGAATCGTTTATATGGTAATTGAACTTGATAATACTGTGTTATTTTCTTATAAGCTTAAGCTTTCGGCTTTAGATATAACTTTTAATATAGTATTACGGTCAGGTTGTTTCAGAAGGCTTATGTGTGAATTTCCCTATTTTACTCGCTAATGCTTAAATAAAGCTTTAGCTTTAGTTTTCACTGGTAGTCTTGCCTATAGATTGATGATGTGAGGTTCACTGATCTTTCTTATAGCTAATTTTGTTATGCTTTATGATGGAACCCCAGCAAACTCAATCAAAATTCACACAGCACACCCAACAATCAAAGAACAAACACGATAAACAAACTATATATTGATTCAAAAGTGAAAACAAGTCTTGGTGAGCTACAATCAGACCCAACCGAAAGCAAAAACAAAGAAGGGATAGTCCTAGCAATTTGAGGAGCTGGGGACCTCCCTTAATAACCGTTTGAAAATATGCCTATCCTTCCCTAAACTCCACTCCCTTTATGTACTAATCCCTTAGCTAAAATATTCCTCCCACTAACAACTTGATTCCTCAACACGTGAATATTTCCCAACCAACTGCCACAAGCACACATGCCCACTCACACACCCAACACCCTATTGCCTTTATGCCCTTTATATTGATAGACTTTACTAATAGGAGGTCTCATCACTTTATAATGAAATTTGTGCTTGCTCTTTCACTTTGATATTTATAACGCTCTTTTAATTTCAATGTTTTTGTTTGTGTACCATCTTACTCTTTATCAGTATTTGCTACTGACGCATGGGATTCTATGTCATTGTATTACAGGAAACTGATTGGGCTGGTTTACTTCATTTGGTGAAATTTTATAAAAGTCGAAGGTTTGATGCAAATATTGGACTTCCCAAGTGAGATTCTAACTTAGCTAACTTAGCTTGAGACTTTTTGGTGATTTTATGGCTCTAGTACTTGTTAAAAATTCTGTTTTCTGATGATCTGGCAGGCCAAATGATTTTCGTGATTTTCCAGAGTACTTCGTTCTTGAGGTAATGCATTGAGGTAGGGTATGTAATGAGTTGTATCCATGCCATGCACGAAACTGTAGGAAGTTTATTTCCTGTGTTTTACAGGCATCATATAGAGCTATCATTCATAGAATTTATGAGCATGAGAGAAGTGTTTGATCGGGCACCTTGCTGTTGCTTGCTTATATTCCCTATCAATTTAAAAATAATTGGTGATGGAGGTCATCTGTTTTCACCTATGAGTTTGAATCATATCACATGTATAAGTATGCAATTCACACTTAGGTCATCTAAAAACTGCATAGATTATGCGGATGAAAAGATCGCTTGATGCTCTTTATTGTTACATAGAATCTTTTGGAAATTGACTAATTTGATCTATCTCATAGAATCTTGCTAAGAAAAATATAATATATAATTATAATAGCAAATAAGAGAACTAGACATTGAGGAAAAAATTGACCTCATAAAGACCAGTTTTAGTTTGTTCACCCTTTGTTTTTTATCCATGACTTGGGTTTGCAGCTTTGTTCTTTGATAAGTCTGGTCTATGAATGCCAGAAACTTTCAATTTGTCTTTAAAATTATTCTGGGGATTTGTATCCCTTCTGTCAATGCAAACTATGTGGTAATCCACTGTTACTTCATGAGTCATCATGGTTTTGTTTGTTGTGAGGAATGTAATTATTGTTAGAACTAGATTTGCCACTCTAAAAGCTTATGTCTGCCCTTGGAATTTCAGTAGAGAACTAAAAATAGTGCAGGTTAGGGGTGGGCATTGCTATCAATGCATGCTTAACTATATCTGGTGCTGGATGTGAAAATGTTTGCTGGATAGGACCAATTCATTAATGTTCGACTTTTTTGGTCTGAATGGGGAGCAAGGTTGGAATGCTGTGGTAAATAGAATAAGATTAACATTGTGGTAGAATTTGGGTGCTGAGCTTAATCTCTGTGGTAGAATTTGGGTGCTGAGCTTAATCTCTGTGGTTTGGGGGGATGAATTGTTGGTTGAGGCTGGTAAAAAGCAAGAGAGCCTAGGCACACGGCTAAGGCTCCTAAGTTAAAACAAAGGAAGGCTTCATAATTGGATACAAGCAAGATTGTACTGAAACCATCAGTTGTCAGATTGCAGGGTCTTACTGTCTGCACCTAATTTTTGGAGGAATTAAGAGTTTTGGCTTTGCTTTAGGAAACAGAGTCAGAATGATTTGATACTTGATCGATTTCCTACCCTAAAATTGGTCTAACAGTAATTAAAATTGTTTCTTTGTGAGCCCTTTGTATTTACATCAAGTATTGCTGGTTGAGAAGCAAACAAAATTTTGTATGTGCCATATTAAAACATNAGGCTTTACTAATAGGAGGTCTCATCACTTTATAATGAAATTTGTGCTTGCTCTTTCACTTTGATATTTATAACGCTCTTTTAATTTCAATGTTTTTGTTTGTGTACCATCTTACTCTTTATCAGTATTTGCTACTGACGCATGGGATTCTATGTCATTGTATTACAGGAAACTGATTGGGCTGGTTTACTTCATTTGGTGAAATTTTATAAAAGTCGAAGGTTTGATGCAAATATTGGACTTCCCAAGTGAGATTCTAACTTAGCTAACTTAGCTTGAGACTTTTTGGTGATTTTATGGCTCTAGTACTTGTTAAAAATTCTGTTTTCTGATGATCTGGCAGGCCAAATGATTTTCGTGATTTTCCAGAGTACTTCGTTCTTGAGGTAATGCATTGAGGTAGGGTATGTAATGAGTTGTATCCATGCCATGCACGAAACTGTAGGAAGTTTATTTCCTGTGTTTTACAGGCATCATATAGAGCTATCATTCATAGAATTTATGAGCATGAGAGAAGTGTTTGATCGGGCACCTTGCTGTTGCTTGCTTATATTCCCTATCAATTTAAAAATAATTGGTGATGGAGGTCATCTGTTTTCACCTATGAGTTTGAATCATATCACATGTATAAGTATGCAATTCACACTTAGGTCATCTAAAAACTGCATAGATTATGCGGATGAAAAGATCGCTTGATGCTCTTTATTGTTACATAGAATCTTTTGGAAATTGACTAATTTGATCTATCTCATAGAATCTTGCTAAGAAAAATATAATATATAATTATAATAGCAAATAAGAGAACTAGACATTGAGGAAAAAATTGACCTCATAAAGACCAGTTTTAGTTTGTTCACCCTTTGTTTTTTATCCATGACTTGGGTTTGCAGCTTTGTTCTTTGATAAGTCTGGTCTATGAATGCCAGAAACTTTCAATTTGTCTTTAAAATTATTCTGGGGATTTGTATCCCTTCTGTCAATGCAAACTATGTGGTAATCCACTGTTACTTCATGAGTCATCATGGTTTTGTTTGTTGTGAGGAATGTAATTATTGTTAGAACTAGATTTGCCACTCTAAAAGCTTATGTCTGCCCTTGGAATTTCAGTAGAGAACTAAAAATAGTGCAGGTTAGGGGTGGGCATTGCTATCAATGCATGCTTAACTATATCTGGTGCTGGATGTGAAAATGTTTGCTGGATAGGACCAATTCATTAATGTTCGACTTTTTTGGTCTGAATGGGGAGCAAGGTTGGAATGCTGTGGTAAATAGAATAAGATTAACATTGTGGTAGAATTTGGGTGCTGAGCTTAATCTCTGTGGTAGAATTTGGGTGCTGAGCTTAATCTCTGTGGTTTTGGGGGATGAATTGTTGGTTGAGGCTGGTAAAAAGCAAGAGAGCCTAGGCACACGGCTAAGGCTCCTAAGTTAAAACAAAGGAAGGCTTCATAATTGGATACAAGCAAGATTGTACTGAAACCATCAGTTGTCAGATTGCAGGGTCTTACTGTCTGCACCTAATTTTTGGAGGAATTAAGAGTTTTGTGGTTGCTTTAGGAAACAGAGTCAGAATGATTTGATACTTGATCGATTTCATACCCTAAAATCGGTCTAACAGTAATTAAAATTGTTTCTTTGTGAGCCCTTTGTATTTACATCAAGTATTGCTGGTTGAGAAGCAAACAAAATTTTGTATGTGCCATATTAAAACATCACCAATTGTGGACCCTCTGAAGCCTTTGAAAAGTTGTTACTGTTCTGTAACTGAACTGATATCGCTATATGAACTAATACCCTTTTCAGTTTGCTGTGAGAAATTTGAAACATTAGTTATTTTGTTTTTTAGGCTATTCCGCATGCAATAGCTATGGTCAGAGCGGCAGACAAGAAAAGCCCAAGAGAAGCTGTAGAGTTTGTTTTACAGCTTTTGAAGGTAATTTCCCATATTTCACTAAGCTTTTGCACTACAATGATAATCAAAGAGGTACAAACAAACTCTTTATTTTTTGTTCTTTTCGTGCCTATTTTGGCAATGTTTTGACCAAAAGGAGTATATGTATTTTGTTGAATGAAAAATTGAGCACAACAACCTATGTTTCTGTTTTGTGGTGGTTTTAGTGAGATATGACCATTTAAGTATGAATTTTTACAAAGAGATTTACTAAAACAGTCTCCTCTTGCATTTCATTTTTATGACAGAAATTGCGTAACATTTAGGTTCCCAACTTCCCATTACAGATTATTACTCAGTGGAGTTTGTGGCCTGAAATAGAATTCTGTAATAAGGTGTTCATTGTAATTATTAGAACTTCCTCTTATCTAGTGGGTCTTGTTTTACTCCCTTAGATACCTACGTGTCTTCAAGATTGCATTTCCTTTTTAGTGCTAATGAATTTTGTGTGCCAACTATTTATTCTTCATTTGCTCTAGGGTCTCTGCTCGATTTTCTTCATTCATCCCAATTTGGAATGATTTTAAGATTCCTGGTGTTGTCTTGTATGGTGAAGGGGGTTATTTTTTATTTATAGCATAGATTTTGGATGCTATGCACTGTTTTTGTATAGATTTTGCTGACCCCTTGTGTGTTTATGCTTCTTGCGGACATATGGTCCACTTCTTACCTGTTACTTTTTTACATTTCCATCAACATATTCAGAGTTTCTTATAACCAAAGAGTTTTGCTTTGACTATACTTCTCTTTCTCCTTTCTTTCTGTTTAACTTGATTTATTGATGGTATTTAGACATTCCTATGATTTCCAATAAAAAAGAAAAATGCAAACTGAAAGTCTTAGATCTTATTAATAACAAGTTTGAAACAAGAAACATCCTGATACTGCCAATAAAGGGGAAAACCCCCAAGACAATTCAAAGTTGAATGTCAAAGGTTAGAATATGCCAAAAAGGTAAGTCTTTTAGATATTTTGTTATCTGTTGATAAGTGGAATTATATGACTATAAAATGTGGGTAAGCCTTTGCTAATACCTTGCTCTGAGATGTCTTTTTGGCGGATATGCTTTTTTTGTTAATTATAGAAAAGACCGGTACGCCGTGATGGAGGTCATGGTATAAAAAAAAAAAAGAATATACTCTTTGAATACAAATAAGTTGGTATAGTCAAATTATCAGTATGTCCACCAGCTTAAGAATTTATATATATTGACAGTACTACCAGAAATTTGTCATCTGAACAATGAACTAGTTATCTTGTCATTTTTATTGCTTGTGTCATGGTCCAGAATGTAAGGAACTGGTTTCTCTTAGGGTGATCTTACTGTTGATTTTCCTTTTTCAATAAATTATGCTTTATCAATGTTTCTAATTTATTTTTACCCTTGTTCTTTTTCACTGTTCTTCAACAGTATAATGATAACAATGGAAATCCCTATTCTGACGTGTTCTGGCTTGCCGCACTGGTCCAGTCAGTTGGTGAACTTGAATTTGGGCAACAGGTGGTTAACACTATTTTTCTCTTTGATTCCTTTCAGGCTTATGCTGCTGCTTCTTTTTTGGTTTGCTTAAGTATTTTGTCATTTCAACTCTTTCTTCTTGCTGGGTTTTAAATCATTTTAAGCGCATAGTTTTTCACAACTTTCTGCTTGGTGTGTTTTTGAAATTAAGCTTTTAGGTGAAGTCTTAATCATTCAGCTAAAACGTGTTCTTAATGTGCTACCACGTCATCAAATCAAGGCTTAAGTTCAAAATGTAATCTTAATTCAGTGACAAGAAATGTCAGCGGTTTCCTTGATGTCTTTGGATGCTTGAATAAGTAATGTAAATAAATTTGAATGTTGTTGATTTTGTGCTTCTGTCGCTAAGAAACTTTCTGTTAGAACACTGATTTTAGGATCAGACGACTTAGATTTAAAATGATCAAAATTTGATCTTAATTTTATTTTCGTTTTTATAATAAATGCTATAACTTCAAACATTATTGTATCTTGCTTCACATTCAATACGTGTGCTGAAGTCTTCCTGTTATTGGTGTTTCTTTGATTCTGTAACAGAGTATTCTCTTTCTGTCATCTCTTCTCAAGCGTGTCGATCGGCTTTTGCAGTTTGATAGGTAATGTTTCTTTTGATGGGAAATACCATTTTTCAAATAATGATAGAAATTAACTGCATGTAAAATGGCATGTTGCAGGCTGATGCCTAGTTACAATGGGATCTTGACAGTCAGCTGCATCCGAACTTTGACCCAAATTGCATTAAAACTTTCTGGATTCATCTGTCTTGTAAGTTTTTCTCTCATCCATTATCCTGTGATAAGTTCCTTCTTGTTGATGAACTACTAATTCCTAAAGCTTAAGCTGGTGAGAAAAGATTGTTAGATACAAAAATCATTGCAACCCAAAGTTTGCATAAGGAAGTCCTGAAGTCCTGGATCCTAACTCAGAATTTGATTTTTAATTAGAACCTAAACTTCTGAACCTCAAATCCCAATTTGGAAAAACAAATAGAACAGGTTAAGTGTTTTTTTTATCAAAGATTTTAAATTTAGAAATCAAAGTTCTGAAAACTTTTAATGTGAACTTGAAGTTCTTCACTTATATTCTACACTTGAAAATGTCGAAACTCCAAGTCTGCGATTACTAAACCTGGTATTTTGAAAAAAATTTAGTTAATCTTTCATGGGTCTTGGATACTAAAATGCTTATTTAGGTCTTGCATTTCAGCTCTGAGGTAATAAAGTTGAGTTGTATTCAACAACTGATTTGTAATGTCAAATGCATCACTTTTTATTGAGGTTTAAGGAGGAACTTAAACTATAAATGATCATAATCTCTCTTTCAGATTATTCCATTAAATCAAAAGATCTATATCTTGTGATGTAGTGATTATAAATTTTCATATAGGTGATGGCAAAGAAAAACCATAGCTTTTGCTCTACCCTATAGGATAGTTGATTTCTTCCTTAATTGCATCTTTTGGTGCTTAGACTCTAGCATGAGCGTCACTTGTGTGGCTAAATCTAAATGATGGGCTTATCATGTGGATATAGGAAAACAAACATACAAAGTAGCTTTTAAATATAGATTGAACTTTGCTTTATTGTTGTAATTTTACTTATAGAATGGAAGATTCAGTTGTAAAACCTCTTGATCAATCTGAGTTTGGCTCTTACATTGAGGAACACTAATCCAGAAAGCTTAATAGGAAATTGTTATACCCTAGTATTTAACAATTCTAAACTTATTTTTATTCACCTGTGGTCATTACTCACTGCAGGATCATGTTGTTGAACTTATTAAACCATTTCGGAATCCAAATACGATATGGCAAGTTCGAATGGAAGCAAGCAGGGCACTCCTTGATCTTGAGTTTCATTGTAAAGGCATAGATGCAGCATTGTCATTGTTTGTCAAATATATAGAGGAAGAGCCGTCCTTGAGAGGTTTTGCACTTTCCTCTTTTTCCTTGAGTGCAAGAACTAACCTCCTATAGATTCCAACTTTTATTAGTTCAGTTTTTAAGTAACCAGCGACCGAAAAACATGAGCTAATAGGAATTAGCCCAATAACTATGTTTACACTCACCACAATTGCAACAACAAACATCACAACACAAATGTACTGAATTTGTAATAATCTAGTTATCAAATTTGAAAAACTTAAACTCATAGGTAAGGAACAATGGAATTTAAGGTTAAAAGTTATGCTGCTGGTTTCTTAGTGTATGCTTTTTTGTGTTTAACTTCTTATATTCGTTGCTTTCAGGACAGGAGAAATTGGGTGTTCATGCAATGCGTATATGTCAAGCTGGAGGTGGATCTGATTTCAATGATGAAATTAGGACCGAAACTCTAGTAGCCTTGCTTCATCTGCTTGACAGCCGTATTTCATTCAATAATGTCTTTCTTCGTCACCACCTATTTGGCATTCTACAAATACTTGCAGGAAGGTGAGCCTACTATTTCTACTTCCTCTTCAATAGAAATTTTATCCATGTGTAAGGAAAGTTTTAACTATATTTAATTATTGGGGTAATTTTTCATCAGTTATTGAAGGGTATGATGTATGATAAATCTGCCTTTTGATGAACAAGAAATACTAATACAACATCATATGGTAACATTGTAGATTCTATCATTGGCATTGGACCTTTACAGTTGATATAATCTTATTTTTGGGTGTCTAGTTAGTATTATTAAAGACATTGGCTGTGTCATTTTAGGGGTGAGATCAACTGGGGTTTTAGTCGTGCATGAAGAGCTGTAAACTTAGCTTGGCAATGGACTATGGTTTATGTTATTTAATAACTGATTTTGAACCCCATTTTGGAGCTTCTCTTTTAAATGAATTGATATAGATTGGAAGAGTAATGTTTTTAATTTAAGAAAAATGATAATGTGTCTCTATTTGATCCTCTCCATTTTTTTCACCCTAAATTTTGGGTTAGAAATGCTCTGTAATCATCATATGAACATATCAAGCTGTTGATGGACATGATTGCATATTATGATGCTTTCTCTCCTTTGATTATGTGGTTCTTGATATATATAAACTTCCACAAAGTAATGCCCTTAGGTTTGACTGATGTCAAAATGAAGAGAAATGAATAATATGTGAACAATTATATAGACTGAGTTGGCATAGTCGGTAAAACTGTTATTTCTAGTTGCACTCAGAACTGCCCTTTCGTTTTTGTGGGGTCCTAGTCACTGTAATGCTCTTTACTTTTAGTGCTTCTCACAGTGTTATGCTTATTACCTTGGTGTTTTATCTTTTATTTTCCTGATCATACTTTCATATTAGTTTTAGAAAATATTTGCAGTCTGTTCTTTTTTTTTTTTTTGACAAATTCTTAATTTCTGGTTTCGGTACTAATGTGGCCTCAGTAAGGAAGTATTACTCTTGCAAATATTCTTGTTTGGGAGAAATTTTAGGTTATTTAGTTTCTATATTTCTCCATTTTCAAAGAAAACATGCTGAAAACTAATTCTGAAATTGAATTCTCAACACTTTTTTTCAGAGCCCCTACACTCTATGGCGTGCCCAGAGATAAAATATTGCTTAGAGGTGATGGTGATACTTACAGTGACCAGAGGAACATTTGTGCAGCTTTTGTCACAGAAATGAAGCCTACGGAACCAACTCTGGATATGCCAAACTTTTCACGGGATAATTTGGCTATTTCAGATGTTTCCAAGGAAGTAGATTGTGTTTCAAATGGTCGTGAGGAGAATATATTGGTTATTCCAGAAAATTCCAAGGAAGCAGACATTGTTTCCAACGGTCATGAACGGAAGATGTCAGTCCCAGAAGTTTCCAAAGATGCAGATACTGTTTCCAACAGTCATGAACGGAAGATGCCAGTTGTTAAAATTAGGGTTAAGCAATCTGCAGCTACCAGTAGAGCAGAAGAGGCTGACAATAGAGCTTTTGAAAGATCTCAAGGCGGACAACATGAAGCTGATCGTGTAACCAGCAGTTCAGTTTCCGTGGATGCACCCCAAAGGAATTCAGTAGAAGCAGTGAGCATTAGCTATCAAAATGTTGAGGAGGTCAACTCATGTCATGATCACGGATCCCGGATGACTGCTAGCATTGGCAGTGCAAAACTTCCGAGTGAAGGTGACAATTTTGGGAAGGAACTCCAGTGTACTGCTGATTCTAGCAAAGTATCCATGCACTTGCAGCCCGATGATCCCTCATCACCAAGCATCCTACAAGATAACAATGTTGACCCTCATGCTAAAAAATATGTAAGTCTTCAAAGCCTATCGGGTGCTAGACAAGATCTGAATGGCGGTTCATCGGGTAAAGAAAAGGAGAAGAAGAAGAAAGACAAGGATAAGAAAAGGAAGCGGGAAGACCCAGAGTATTTGGAGAAGAAGCGTCTGAAGAAGGAGAAAAAGCAAAAGGAGAAAGAGATGACGAAACTGCTTAGCGAAGAGGTGAAAACGCCTTCAGTAGAAATATCTGGTAAGAAAGGGGAAGCTACCATTAAGATGGCAACTGTGCAACTGCAACAACCAATTGAACCCAGTCAACCAAAAGCAACAATTACGAAGGTCGAAAGCAGGGCAGAACCTTCAGAAGGTAGCTCTGCCCCAAAAATCCGAATAAAACTTAAAAGTAAGACACAAAACAAATTATAGTGTACATACTCTGCTTCCATTTTAAATATTTTTCTTGATACCCAGAGAACTCACTCTTAGAATTTTTGACTTCTAGTCTGTTCATCCCTGCCGGCAATCTGTAGAAATAGACTGTTAATGTGAGTGTCACTGTTTCTCTAATGGCATCTGATTTGTCATCTCTTTTTTTTTTTTTTTTAATCCATTCTCCTGGAACATATATGTCATTTAAACAACTGGCGTTTACTTTCTCTAGTTTGAGGGTAAATGAGCTTCACTTGGTGGTCAAACAATCTCTATTTGCAGGTTTAAGTGATTAAATCTGCCGTGGGTCGTGTGTAAGATGTTGGTCAGATAAGTAATTTGGTTCCTTTAGTTTGATAAAGTGTAAAAAAAGAAAGCCATTAAGCACTCGTGTTGTCAAGTGTTTATTTTGTTTCGACTTTCAAAGAGATCTCTATCGAGCAACATATAATAATAGGGGGATATATTCATTCCTAGCGTCTGAAAAAACATTTTCCTTACTATTTATTATTTGTCTATTTTATAACGTGCTGTTATACTGTCAATATCTAACACTGTTTGCGAGTGCACGTTTCATAGAATTGTCCCAACTCCTAGAAACATAATGGCGGCACTTCTTAATACGTGTTATAAATTATTTAAAAATAGATTTATCAACCGTATATATACAATTAGTTATTTTAAAAATTGTATAATTATGTCAAAATAAGTGTCACATAATTATTGTAGATATAGTTGTACGTTTTTATTCACAACTAAGCTTGATTAAAAACACACAAGAAGCCATGAATTTCGTCAATTAGTGTCCCCAATAGAATTCACTTGTATTCCAACCAAGAAAGACTAATATTCTTTTTTCTAGTTTATGTCCCTATTGAAATTTTGGGTTAGGATAAAAGTAGATATGTTTGATAGCTCAGTTCGATTTTTTCAAGCTGCCATTTGAAAATAAACCCCTTGTCTTTACTTTGGACTGAGTAAGAAAGTCACTTTTGGTAACACAATTTTCAGCATTTGGATTAAGATTAGATTTAATGCAACTTGTACAACTAATTTATCGTCAAATGATAGTTTAGACTAATAATGTTACTCAATGAAGTTGTATCCTAACCATTGATTTAACAAATTTGAATTTATACATTAATTATAAAACTAAAAAATGATATTAAAAATATGTGAAATTCACTCATGGTTAAAATCAACCATCAAAAGTTAACATAGAGATGCAACTCGTCTTCAAATAGATTAAAATGAAGGGTACGTTTGGTTAGGGCGGATTTGACATTACTCCAGTTATGTTATCTTATATTACTTACATTACTATATTTGGTTGTCAACTAATATAAGATTCGAATAATTTTTCAATACTAATAGTAATCACGATTGGTTACCTAGGTAGTAATTTAATTGCCACAATTTTTTTATATATTTTCAGATTACTTGATAATCGTATTTTTGTTACAATGTTACCTTTTATTAGTAATTTTTTAAGACAATAATGCCTTTGTTATCTAAACAATTTACAAGAATTTTCATGGACAATTTTAACCTTATATACATGATTTTTAAAACATTATTGCCCTTGTACTTCATCCAAATTACCCAAGACCATGGTCAGATTTGGTCACCATCGTCGACAGTCATCGGAATGGTGCACGATCAACTGTATTTGGTCGGTCGTGCACCAATCTGACCGTTTTCGGCCAGATTCATGGTTGATAATGGCCATATGCATGGTCATTAATGCTATGATAGACTGGCTGTTAACAGCCATGGATCAAGCTGTTTTCGACCATTGATCCAGTCGTTCCAACGATTGCCAATGGTGGTCGATGATGGCTTGGGTGGGTGGGGTTAGTTTTGTTAAAATTTAAACTTTTATTGTGGCTAGCATGTTTTAGCAAAATCTCAAATGTAGGAGGTTAAAAAAAATAGTTCAAATAATAATAATAATAATAATAATATTAGGAAAGAATGATAATTTAATCATCTGTATAACATACAACTAATTTATTCTTATCAACCAAATATATTAATATAATATATCCACTAATTTATTCCAATTCAACCAAACATATTTAATATAATGTTCTCAGTAATCTTAAAGATAATCTATCTTCTCATTAATATAACATTTTCAATAACACAATATTCTCGAAACCAAACGTGTCCTAATAGACATTTAAAATTAAAAAAAAAAAATTAANGTGTTTGGTTAAAGTACTTATAAGTGACTGATAAGTAGTTGATGTGTTTGGTAAAATATGGCTTATAAGTACATTTTATTATAAAATGATAGGGTACTACATTAAACAAGAGTATACTATGAAATTTTAAAATTAAATAAGGATAATGTGGTAATATACTTGGTTAAACTAGCTTATAAGCAGAGTGCTTATAAGAAGAAAAAAAAAAAATACCTCCCTCCCAATTTTATTTTATTTTTTTTTTTTTTTTTTTTTTTTTTTGCTTATAAGCTTAAAAAGGTTATAAACAAACAGGTCAGCTTAATTTTAGAGCTTATAAGCTTAGACAAACACCCCTTATATAACATACAACCTATTTATCCTTACCAACCAACCAACCAACCAAACATATTAATATAATATATCCACTAATTTATTTCAATTCAACCAAACACATTTAATATAATATTTTCAATAATCTGAAAAGTAATCTATCTTCTTATTAATATAATATTTTCAATAACACAATATTCTAGAAACCAAAGTGTCCTAATAGATATTTAAAATTAAAAAAAAAAAAAATGAATACTCGATTTAATTGAAGAATTAAAGAGTGGTAATTTTTAGTGTGTTTTTTTTGTTTGTTTGGTTGGGTGAATGGAAAGTGATTGGACAACAGTGACAGGTTTGGTATGCATGTATTTGGTCATATTTATGAAATGAATGAGTCATGAGTGTGTCTGAGCGTGCACGTGAATAAGTACTTTGGTTGGGGGTCTGGATAAGTACTTGTTCGTTGAAAGAATGTCCGCACCTATTATTGGTTGCTTTCACTCTCCCCCCTTTTCTCTTCTTCACTTCACCTAAAACAAGTTTATATATAATGCGACCTTTTAAGGCAAATCACTTACCTTATATTCTACATATTGTTCTTATATATATATATATATATATATAAACAAAAAGATGTTCCTATTAATAAAAAATTATATTAGTTTGTGTTTGAAAAATTCATTTATGGTGGATTCAATAATTTTTTTCAGTTTTTAATCATTAGATTTAAGAAATCATCCGTACATTCGGGATTATTAGTCATGCATTTGAACTATTTTATGAATTCAAACCATTACGTTAGAGTGTATGTATTACTTATCCAAGTTCCACAAGATCACTCATTTACTAAGTCTAAAAGACAAATCTAAATATTTACTTGACTAGAGTTAAACTAGTACATTTTATTATTAATCATCTTCTTCTTCTTCTTCCAAAGATAACTCAATAACTCACAAATTTCTTACAGTAAAAAGAATAAAAAAACAATGGATACAAGATAGACAAGTCTTAATCAATATCTTTTAATTTTCTTCATCTCGATACTCCAAAGTATCAAATTAGTTCTGTTGAACAACAGTTGACAAGCAAAGCAACGGCCATGTATCTTCAGTTAAAGTCTTTGATTAATTTTGCAGTACCTTTTAGATTTTGTTAACTTCTATTTTGGATAGATATATCAACAGTTGAAATTCCCAAACCCTTTTAACTTTTTTTATATATGCTTTGAATTTATTCTATGTATTATGCTTAAACACAATTTATGTGTACATTATTCGTGTTTAATTCTTTCACCAAATGAATTAATTTGAAAGTTATTCTTTACAGACAAAAAATGGTGTCATTAAACCCACCACAACAAAAAGTTATTCCAATTCTAAAGATTTTTTATTCTAAATATCACTAATTTTCATATCCATACCCACAAAAATTTTAATCTCCCTTGTGATATTGGTCAATCAAATTACTATTTTTGTAAAATAAAAACGAGAAATTGAATTCGCATTTTTGAAATATGAAAAATACTTTGAGAAAACATTATTCTAATATAATCTTTTATTTGGTAAACCAGATAAACCTTGTGGTTATATTTAACCCTATTTGTTGAAGGGTTTTTCATCCGACCACAAAAAAAATGATTATATGTGAAATGTTTGATGAATTAAGTCATTAACAATAAAACATTTGGCTTATTAGCTACTAATTAGAATTTATTTGTTGATTTAATTGAAATGACATAAAAATTTGTTTTTAGAAGTACTGTATTTGGTAAATCCTCCTTGGCCGCAATTTTGCCTCTATTAGTTTCTTGGAGATGTATGACATCAATATATGGAGGGCCCTTGCGTATATAATTGCATCCATCGATAGACAAGATAAAAATATGCCTGTAATGTCATGAAAAGAACAACTTTAGGGCCAATCTAATCAAACCAAAATAACAATAATAAAAAGAGTAATGTCACACCTACAACATCTTCTCACAAATTTTCTCTCACAACCATGATGTGATAGCTTGTAATCAGTTAACTCGAAACGAGTCTTATCAGATCCTACCTAATAAATTACAGTTAATTAATTGTGAGCTATCACATCGGGATTGTGAGAAAAAATTTATAAAAAGAGATTGTAGTGTAGCATTTTCCTAATAAAATTAAGTGTATTGATTGAACTCTCTCTCTCTCTCTATATATATGACCAACGATAACTAAGCACTTTAGTTATGTCAAAACAACCTCAATAATAGAAAGAACATCAACAAAAGTATCAACTTAAAAAGATGAACAGGTTAAGCATTATATAAAGGTTAATGGTCTTGTCAAACAGCCATTCGCTTGCGTTGCTGCAGCTTAAAGGTTTTTTTTTTTTTTTTTGGATGATTGAGTGTGTTTAGGTTAATCCGCGCTCTCCTAGGCTAATTTCAGGGCCCTAAAGTAGATAAACCCTTCGACCGTCATCTCTGTTAGCATTCATTAAGACTCGACTTTCGAAACTTATGAAATATTCTTTTACTTTTTTATCATCAAGTCATCTAATCGTGATTACTTAAAAGATTTTTTTAGAAATTTTGCACCACGCAGGAAATAACGAGTCTGCCCTATTGTCCTTCTATTCTCGTCCCTTTTTTTTTTTTTTTGTTTTTTTTTTAATGATGGTCCGCCTTTTGTTTTTGTGGATCTGTTTTTGTGGATCTGTTATGTGTCTATTTCTACAAACAAAGGAATCCTGCAACAAAGTAAGGTTAGAAAGAGAATTTATGAGCTATTTGATTATAATCAGGATCTCAATTTGATGTTCAAGTAGGAGTCTTTCCCTAACATAAGTAATTTAATCATCCCACAGGTTTTGATCTTGACTTTTTTTTTTTGGAATTTGATTGGTTAAAGAGCTGAAACCCTAAGCAATAGGGCAAAAGAATAGGATGGTCCTTGACATAATATGCTTGGTTGGATATCATAAACCGAAGAGATATTTCAATGGCATAAGGATAAAGTAAGATGTGGACTTTCTTTCCCTCAGCAATAACTTAAAGTTAATGGGTGGAAATTCTGATCAGACGTTAGAATTGTAAATGATTTTAAGACTAGAAAATTGAGGGTGGAATAAATAGTAATGCAAGATCACCAGAAATGGGATCTGCAGGGGGTAAAATGATTGACCTGGAAGCTTAACTTGAAGCTTTTTATGGAAAATGGTTCATCCCCTAAAAGACTGAATCCAAATGAATCTGGGGAAAGGTTTTCATTTAAGTGCAAAATTAATGGGGTAATTGTGGATATGCAGAGACAAGGAAAAGAGTTCACGGAGGGAAGTGAAATGAAAGCACTTAAACTAAGGCAAGACTTTTAGGGTTTTTTATGCTCTCTCATTCATTATCACCCACTTCAAAAAATGGTGCAAACTCACCATCTTTTTGTCATAGTTATCCTCTTCTTTGAAAGCAACCTTAGAACCACAGCTCTCCATTTCATGTGGTCCTCTTTATAATAATAAAGCCAGTCTAAAGAGGACAGGCTCATCAGCTATAGACAGAAAAGAGGGAGAGAGAGAAGGGAAATGATTTTAGATAAGTGGAAAGGACGGATTGTATAAATGGAAATGGACATCAAAAAGAGTGCAAAAATAGTAATTTGCAAAGAAGGGTATTCAATAGTGGATAAGACTTATTGCCATTTCCATAATATAATCTCAGTTGGGTTTTCTTCACAACACCAACTTGTGATAGGGAATAATGTGTTGAAGCCCTGGAAAAAACAATATGATTCGCTTATCTCAAAGCTTAGACATGATGGCTGGACATGGAGAACAATTTAGAAAGAAAGGAAGAGAGATAGAGATAGAGATAGAGATAGAGATATGAGGTTTCTCTTTTTGTTGAAAGCGACCTTAATTTCCAAAGTCATCCAGTCAAAGAAGCATTGTCTCTCTTTGCAGGCTTGTTTTAACATTGTTATATATATATGCTCTCTCTCTCTCGTGAAAATAATTATTATACTTCTCATCACTAATTAGATTACACACATACACGTGTAAATCTACCAACATTACAGGTTTGAAATTGGAACTTGAATTGGAATTGGAATATCAGCCCTGATCCCCCTATATATCTATATCGCACAATCCACCTATAATAATACTTTATATAGAAATAATTGTTATGTAGTCATAAAAACTTTTAGTTCTAATTTATGTCAGTTATAAATAAAAATAAATTTTATATTATAATAAATTATAATTTATCTAGGTCCTGTCTTAAGGAACTTACCTTTACATAGTAATAATTATATAAATATTACAAAAAATATATATTATGTTACATTAAAGGTTTAAGATGAAATAAAATATTTATCTAACGTTGTTTGGGACAAATATCTATACTTTAGAGTTGTTACTAGATCTTTTATTGAAACCAAAGTATTTCTAGTTTTCAAGCATGTTTAGAGCTTCTTGGCACGAAACTTTTGATATTTTTGTACAATCATCCTCAAGATCATCTCTCTTTCTCTTCTTGTTTAATTCTAGTAATGATTAATTTCTTCTTCAGTTAAAACATATACAACTTATTGCTTATTTGAATGAGTAAGGAAGATATTAATATCCATTTGATTAGTGTAATAAAATTGTCGAATCTGATCACTCAATCTTACAATGATTTTTTGATATCTATTTCCGTACTATTCTAATGCTACTAAAATAATGAATTGAAATCCTAATAATACTAAAACATGAATTATAAATAAAAAATCAAAACAATTATTTTTGAATCAAAACAATAATTCTTATAATTACATATTTATTAAGTTATAACCTCCTCATAGTAATCAATTTAATTGGTGTAACATTATGATTTTATATATATATATATGCTCATGCAACTTCTTGGGTTTGATTGATAAAAAAAATGTCTCACCTGCCACCGCGTGAAGTGGCACAATACTAAGTGACTCCTGTCCACTCAATTCCCACAATATTGCTGTTTTACTTTCTGGTTCGCTTTCATGGTCCAACCATAAGAGAAGAGGAGCAAGCCAACTTTTTTCTATAAAGAAAAGATTAAGAAAAAGATGGCACTTTGTCTCCAATAAATTCCCCTTCTCTTTAACTCCTCAAACACCATCTTTACACACATTTCTCTCTCACAAATATACACAACACAACACATTCAAAGAAGCCCCCCTCCCATGGACATACAGTGCTACCTCTGTGCTGTCTTTCTCATGCTCTAGTCTTTGCTCGAGGAAGGTAATTGATAGATAATCTATGTATCTCTCTTTCTTACAGTCTCATCACCAACATATATTCACACACCAACACTTGTTAACATATAAAGACAGAAAAATAAAAAAAAATAAAAAAGAAGAAGAAGAAGAAGAATGAACACAGTTAATTTTCATTATATGCCTTGTCGTTCTCAGAAACAATGTTAACCTCTTTTCTTTTTCTCTTTTCTTTTTCTCTTTTCAGAGAACTGAGCTGAAAAAGAAAGGATATTTTGGTGGATCTAGCTAGTAATTCAAGCCTGATATTATACAGTAATCTTGCATGCTTCTTTCTCAACCTCTAGAGCCGCCAGCGACTAGCTCACCACGTGGCTAGGGTTGTCAAGTGTGAAAGTGCAAGTGCAAATACAAATTAAACTACAATGTTTCCTTCAAACAAAAACATCAATGGTTACTATGACCCAGTCCATTTTACAAATGACCCATCAATTTTCAATAAGCCCTTTTTCAATGACATCATCCCAAATTCAAAACTAGGAGATGCTTCTTTATCCTTCTTGCACTTCCCATTAGATGACCATGATGACTTTCTCCATGAGCTTTTACTTCAACATCAACCTTTGGGAACTGATAATATTCCTACTGTGTCTGAAAGTGTTGTCGACATGGTGTACTCAACCCAAAATGAACTTAACAATAGTCCAAACGTCACCACCCAGCAGCCCCCGAGGAGAAAGGCACCTGCTCCAAAGAAAGATCGGCACAGCAAAATCAACACTGCTAGAGGACTAAGAGACCGGAGAATGAGATTGTCTCTTGAAGTTGCTCGACGTTTTTTCAAACTGCAAGATATGTTAGGCTATGACAAAGCCAGTAAAACTGTTGAGTGGTTGCTTTCACAGGCAAAACATGAGATCGAAAAACTAGAAGGACATCATCCCTGCATCGTGAACAATATACTGGAAGGACAGCTTCCCCAGATCGTGAATTACAGTTACAGTGCTGGTGCAAAGAGTTCTTCGTCTACTAACGAGTGTGAAGTGGTATCTGGAGTACACAAGGCTGCCATCAATTCTGAAGGATCAAAACCTTCAATTAAAGCAAACAAGATCAGACAGTCCCGTAAGAATGTTCTTCGCCCTCCTACGAGGGATATGAGGAACAAAGCAAGAGCAAGGGCTAGAGAGAGGACACGTAGAAAGATGTTTGGTCGCAACCTAGAAACGACTAACTTGTCCAATCAATTATTGTCTTGCAGTTCCTTTGAAAATGGTGAAGAATCAGGTCTATACGAGAACTGTTCCTTGGATGTAGTGGCCGGGGTTGAAGAACAAGGTTCTGAGCATTTAGCCAACCTTGAACAATTTGAAGATGATTCTGTGGTGGTTATGGAAAAGTGGAGCCCCACTTCCAGTTTCAATTATCCCCACAACATCGGAACTCCCGAAGAGGTAAGGTTTTTTAAAAAGAAAATTTCTTAATTTAACAAACTGTTGTGACATTTAATGCTAAAACTAGCTCTAAATCCTTCATGTCAAGACAAATTAATGTGCATAAATCAACAATATTAAGCGACATCAACTACCTAAATGGAAGGTTCTGATCACATCTCTTGTTACTGATTGCAGCATCAATTTCCAGATTTTCAATTCTTCGGCAAACCATAGAAGCCTGCTACAACAATTAATCAAGAACATCAATGCTAAAAAGAGTTATCTCTATCTTTGGTGTGTGTCAAATAGGTAAACACTAGAACAATAATATTGTGTATTGCCTCCCTTTCTGTTTAAAATATTGTAATGTAATGATATCTTATTTTGCAATTTCTTGTGGACGATTCTACCAGTGATTGTTATGTATAATTATACTATGGAATGATTTTATGTACCCTTAATCCTATATTCTGAATTTATATTATGTGTTTTATAGATATAATCTGCTGATCAAATCGTTGCAAATTTTCAAAATTCTTTTCTTATAATTTGTTTGTGTTCTTAATTAAATAATTTATCCTTATAATTTACTTAACATAAAAATCTTCTATGTTGCATTCTTAAAATACCTCTATTCTGTGGGAAATCCAGGTCTTTTAGGGTTACTTCTCCTTGTATTTGTTTCATTGTATTTTAGTGGACTTTTGAACTTCCTAAATGCATACCGATAAGACAGCAACTCTTTAAGGAAGTGATTGAATAGACTTATGAGTCATCCACTATCCACATGATCAAGTCATGCTTTCTAAGAGTACCTAAGGAAACAAATTTCAACATATCATTATCTTGTTTTAGTTAGGGATAAGATTATTCTGGAAGGAGCACCTTATGTAAAGTCATATACATTTGGAAATATGCATGAAATTATTGAATTTGATGATACTGACATATGAACTTGATGATAGTGACATATGAACTTGGAGATTGATACCTACAACTGATCTGTTTCTAGGAAAAAATCTGCAACACTAATCAAGTTATCGAGTTTCTCTCTTTCATGGAAACTTCCCACAGAACGTTTTGACTTCTTATTAAATAATCTGGTTTTTTCATTGATATGTACCTTAATTGAAGCCAATCTTTCCTTTGTTTTTCCTATATGAACCTAAAGCTTTCTAATCATTTTTTGGACATCACTAGGAAAGTTCTTAAGCTGTAAAAGTTGCTCCCCTGATGATTAAGTCTCAAAACATACTGCTCCAGTTATGTAGTTTATTAATATGATTGTCTTTTGCAGAGCAAGTGTAGCCTACATGAACATCTAGTGTATACTACAACTATATATTTCTCGAGTAAAGTGGAAAAGGTTCCATGAAATTCAGCATAATATACTGCATTCTATTTGAGCATATTATTCATTAAGATTTATCATAGTCTATGTGCTATATATTTATGTTGGTTTTACATGGAGTTAGCACAAAAACAATACACAACATTTGAAAGCTCATGAAACCTTTTCCAGTTTTCCTTATCAACTTCATGGTGATGAAGTATTAACATTGCATGCTGTTTGAACTATACTATATATGCAGTTACTATATTATTATGCTAAGTTGAATACACTGCATTAGCCATAAACTTAAGCTTTACAATTTGCTGGCTCTAATAAGAATCAATATGATTCTGACAGCCCCATTTTCCAACGCAGAAGAGTCTAAAACATGTTTCTCGAGCTAATAATTTCAGTTAATTAACATCTTGCTTCTTGTACCATTTTGTGTTTTTTTTTTTTCCAATATAGAAGCCACATAAACAAACCAGCTTAATTTAGATCGATGAGGGTTTAACTTGCTTGTGGTAATAGGTTTTTCTCAATCAAATGATCAATTTGATGAAGAAAAAGCATGAGGCCTACCCACCTCAATAATAGTGTGATGAACCTTGAAAACTAACCAGATAGAGGGAGAACTAATCACTTAATTAAGCGGAGGGACATAATATCATAAGAAATTTTCTATCTCAATAATTTTTTTTTTTTTTTTTTGGTTGGTGTATGGATATTCCTATTTGTTGTTGAAGTCAGTGGTGCTGTGATAGCAACTTCAGCATATATGTTCCAAGTCACAATGAGAAGATTTGGCATCTTAGTCAGCAAGTCTGTAGGAGACTCCCAACTTACATCTCCATTGACTGACTGCTCTTCAATTTTTATAAAACCTCCAGGAAATTAAAGCATCATGCTTTTACATGATACACACTAATCTTCATAATCCCAACTATTAAAATGTTAGAATAGCTGAATTTGAAATTTTACTTTTTTTTTTTTAAGGTATCTGAGATATCCAGGCTTACATTGGAACCTACTTAATCCTCAGAGTCACGGAATACTCTACAAGTCCAATAAATCAAGGTAATTATACAAATGTGGTAGGTACCTCTCCTATGACTCAAACACAAGACCCACTGGATATAGTTAATCCAAGTGGTTAAAAGGTTTGTCATCCTTACATAAGAGGAGAGTTTATTATGAAAAATCCTTTGAAAAAACATTATTCCAATATAGCATGATAAAGTAAATTTGATAAAGATGAAATCTGTCTTAGAAGGGTTCTCATTTTCATCTCGGAAAAAGCTATAGCATGATAAAGGTAAATACAATGAACACCTAAAGCTGCAAAATATTAGGCCAGAAAAACTTGAAGCATAGTTATGTTGCCGTGGATGAAAAATTCAAGTAATAATCGAAAATATATGTTTTTCAAGCTACATTGAGTGTCTATATATCATGAATAAATAAACGAAACTGAAGTAGTAGGGTTATATCATCAGTTAGCAATAAAATTGAACCTGAATCTGAACTCATAAACTATCTTACTAACGAAGCTATTTTAACAAATGTGAGAAAGTAGGCTACTTATTTTTCTCCGTGGCAGAGGGTGAAGGATTGTTTGCCAAACCTCAAAATTCTACTTGTCACAAAGGAATAAAATGGCAGCCACAATAATACAAGCTAGATATGAACAATATTATGCAAGATATGCATCTTCAGAAGATACCCTGGAAATTCTTGAAACTAACCTGGAATATTTTTACTTGAATTATTTCCTCCAATCATTATGGTTCATAGATATGATGCAAAAGGCCCACCATCTCTAAGTTGTGCTCGGCATGTGAAATGGAAGGTGATTGTCATGATAGCATGTTCTGGCTTCACTTTTCCTGAGCTCCCCATTAAGCTTTGGTCCTTTTCTGTTCCATTTTAAACAGACATTATTGGTAACCTGTATCAATCATCCATGTCTATACAATAAGGTGCCGTAATTCTTTAATGCAGAAGCCCCGTATATTCGATTATCTGATATGATAGAAATTAAGTATCAATTCAATTATTCATCCAACATCTCTTTTCTGTCTCAAGATGTTTACGCCCGTCATGATTCACATAATTTAGATTGAGAAATCTTCTATACTTAGCTCCAAAGGAATTTGGTTAATATGTGGGCACAGAGAAGTTAGCATTAAAGCTCAAATTAAGTTGAGTAAAATGGAGCTGAAGAACAGTTGCAAATGGAAGGTGATAGAACTTGTTGCACTGATAAGGTGCAGGCAATTAAAATAATGAATTTACGAATTTAGTGCAAATTTAGAGAAGAGGCTAAAACTAGAAAGTGATAAGAAAGAGAGATACCACTTATTGCTTGACAGAAGTATTCTTTAATGATGGCCATCAATACCAGCAGGTTGGGGAGTAGTACGAAATATACCCCAGCCTTCTGTAAGTTTTTGGTGGTGACAGTTGGGTTTGTACGTGTTTCAAATGGATGCTAGTTGTTATTGTTGTTGTTGATGAGTATGACTTCTATTTATTTATATTTTCTTATTATAGCCGGAAAAATAGCATGCTTTACCTTTGTCCCCTGCACTGATTAATGTCAAGAGAAGAAGAAGAATATGATGAAATAAACATCTTTTTCTGGAAACAGAATACTAATTCCAGGATTTTTTTTTTTCCAAATTATTTGGTTTGCAGTTCTTTTTGTGGTTGCAGTTGGGTTTGTACATGTTTTTTCATAAGGATGCTAGTTTTTTTTTTTTTTTTTTTTTTTTTTTTGACCGGACGTGTTTGGACTAGTTTACGCACCTCAACTAATCTCTCAGGACCCTAAAGTTAATAGTCAGATAAATCCCCTCAGTAATCATCCCTATTAACAACCTAGATGGATCAAATTTAAAACCTTTTAAGTAATACATCCAAAAATTCTAGTTAACTGTTATATTAGATTCCCCATAAGGACGCTAGTTGTTGCTCTTGATTTTTGTTTAATTTTTATTTTGATATTTATTTTTTGAGTGGGGAGAAAAAAAAAAGTTTGCTTTCCATTGTCAACTGGCCTAGCATAGCTATGCTAAGCTAAGCTAATCTAATCAATGTCAAGAGGAAGAGATTGAGGAAATTGATGTTATAAAGAGAATTTTGTTTCTCATCATGGTATCTCAATTTGCCAACTTTATTTTTCTTCACCTTTAAAGATTGAAGGGCAAAGACCAAACGTGGGTATCTATTCTTTTCAAACTCTTCTAGTTTTTGTAGGTATAGACCCAGAACCTTTTTTTATGTTTTTGGGTAGTTTGTAGGACCGCTTTTAATTTCCAAGAAATACCTTGTCATCGCCTAAATTCATGCTCTTTTATTTTTATTTTTATTATTATAACCAGAATGTCTAAATTAGTTTATACATACCTAAATTAATCCGTGAGATTGACAATCAAATAAATCTCTTATCACCCTATTAACAACCTGAGTTGGTGATCATTTTATCAGCAATTTTATGTATGCATGAGTAGAACAGAATCAATCACAAATTAATGGGCTAAAAGTAAGAGTTTCAAGGTTATTTGGAGTCGTTTATATATTTAATTTTGATTCTCTCTCTTAACGCAAAGTAAGTCTTATCTTTTTCTTGCGCCTTTTGTCAGTGAGACTGCCACACACTAGATGACAAATAGTGGCGGCCGGCGAGGGATCAATTAACCCTTTTGGGAGATGGTTAATTATATTGTCACATAAATAAAACCTTTTAAACTGAGTTTTTTTTTATACTTAGAACCTAAATCAGCATTGGGTTTAGCTTCAGTACTATATGCAAACTTCAGTATGGTACTGCTAAAATGACTTAATATAGAAACGAGGGGAGATACCATATTTAAACTTCAGTATAGTACTGCTAAAATGACTTAATATAGAAGAGGGGAGCTAGAGAATTTATTATATCCAAGTCTTCAAACTAAGACTTAATATAGAAAAGAGGGGAGCTAGAGAATTTATTATATCCAAGTCTTCAAACTTTAAGTTTTCGACAAAAAATTCAATAATTTTAAAACCAGAAGTCACTGTCAGAAAATATAAATCCAAAACCATTAATGAGATACCAAAAAACCCAAAAAATAAAGGCTAAATCCGGGATACCAAAAAAAGATGTAAATGAGATCTGATCTATAGAAATTAACAAAAAGATGCTACGCAAAACCATTAATGAGATCTGATCTATAGAAATTAACAAGCTAAATCCAGGACGAACAATATATACCAAACCCTAGAAGAAGATGTAAAAAGAGAAAAAAACTATTTGTAAGAGTAAATGAGACAGATCAAACAACAATCTTTACAAATCAAGTCGATGAAAAATCAAACAAAAATATTTCTTTCCATCCCAACCAAGAGAAACCGGAGAGAAGAAAGAGAGATTCTAAAGTCACCTGCGAAGCCCATAATTCCATCGGAAATTGGGCTAAACAGAAAGACGGAAAGACGGTTATTCGGCTTTTCTCAAACATTTGTTCCACAATTCCATCGGAAATATGGAACCCTAGAGAGAGATTCGCCATGCTTAAAAATTTTAAAAAAGAAAAAATTCAAAATTTCTCAAACAATTCTTCCCCAAATTCTAGAGTTAGTCAAACGCAACTTGAGATAATCACAGATTTAAAAGCTCTAATTATCTCAAACATTAATTCCCAAACATTCCTGCAAAATCGAGCAGCAGGGAGAGGAACCCTAGAGAAAAAAAAAAAAAAAGAGATAAGAGATTCTTATTTTGTCTTCAACCCCTTTCTGAGAAACCCTAGAGAGAGAGAGAGAGAGAAGAGAGAGAGAGAGAGATGGAGATGGAGACAGTACAGTCGATTGGATTTGAGTGTGCAGTGGATCATGTCAAGTGGGATGAGGGATGAAGAAATTAAGAGGCCAACTGGTGGGTTGTAAGCTTGTAGTACAAATTTTGCAGAAGACAGAAAAGACGTTAATGTTATAGCTGCCTAGGGTGCATTGTATGTAACCCACTATTGAATTCAAAGTATATTATACAATATACCCAACTCCTATTTTCTTCTATCTAATCCAACATATTGTACATTTACCCTTTTATGGATTTTAGTAATTTTTTTCTTTAACAATAAATCATAATACTTTATGTAAAAACTCTCTTCAGCGAACACTTATAAATGTAATGTTCATGTCTTAATTAAAACAGATAATTCGACAATCACACTAAACTACCAATCATTTGTAAGATGAGTTTATATGCGTGATTTTATTGTTAACAAGAGATGTGTCCGAACTAAAAGCAAAGAGAATAAATTAACTTTTTTATGATCAAAATGAATCATCTAAATGTTCGTAAAAATGACACACAATTCTCCTACTAACTCGGATTCAAAGGAACATAATAAGTTAACTTTTATGTGTTAGAATGAATAATCTAAATATAAGTTATGATAATACACAAATAAAACTGTTATTTGTGATTCTCATACTAGTTTGGATTAAAAGCCAAGAGAAATTAGTTGACTTTTTATGCGTTATCAGGTAAATACACGTATTAGGCTTCTTAGTTGGATGTATTTATCTCCTTAAACGTTAGGTAAACGAGAGAAATGAACAATTTTTTTTTTTTTTTTTTTTTTTTTTTTTTTGTAAACCTGGTAATTGTCTCTCTCCCTAGTAAATACAAGACTTTTAAATATAATTAACCCTAATGGTTAAAAGGCTTGCCACCTGGGGAGATGTTAGAAATTTGCATAATCAAAACTTCTCAGTAAGAAAATACTAAGAATAATAGCTATGGAAAACTATATTGAGTAGTTTAACATTAATGGAAGGTTTGTTCAAAGGAATAAATAAAAGGATGAAGTTTGGGGAAGAGAAAGTGGAGGTTTTAACAAATTAATATCGAAGAATCAAGGAATGAGTTATCATCAGGGGCGAAATGCCACTAAAACACAGAGCTAGCTGATTCTCCCCAAAATGTGTTGGGGTACAATAGTTGATTGTACATCCTAGAATAAAGCATTGTTTCGATGGAAGCCTCTAGAATGATTACCAAATCGAGACAAACTCTTAGACACTCAACATGATATGATTTAGGAAAAGCTCCGTTATTTTGAGAGAAACAACCCAAATCATCATTGAGGCCCCTAATTGACTGTTGAATAATAGAGAACCATATGGCCAATCATATAGAAAATTGATTCTTTCGTCCAAAGAATTCCATTAGCCCCTCTTTTTGCAACTAAATTTTGTATATACCAAATTTCTAAAGATGAATAGATCAACTCATATAAGAAAGATGCTAGAAGATAAGATGGACTTGGTAATCCCTCAATATTTGCAAAATCACTTGACATGATCAAGCCAAGTGTTTGACTGAAGGGGGAATCACTCTATGTTCCAACTTAAAAGAGATTGTTATGGCACAACTCGATCTGAACTAAAATATTGAAGACAACATATTTATAATTATCTTTTTCTTTTTCTTTTTCTTTTTTTTACTAGAAGTCAACGTCCCTTCAGCTACTACAGAGCTAGTAAATGACATCAATTAGTTGGACTGAAATGTACTTAAACTATTGATTTTGTTAGTAACTTGATTTGAGTGCCCTTTATTTGCAGAGACAAAATCTATCTCAAACGTCTACTTATGAGGAGACATACTAAATGCATTTGTAGCAATG